TGATTTTTAGCAGATATTAGATATCTGATAATTTGTATCGTTTGGATCTCTCACTGTATTATATTCCTTTAAAGAAAACTCTTAGACTAAGTCACTTGGGAGTTACTTTTAACCTGTTGAACTTGTCTTAAGCTCCTTTGGGGAAGGTCATAGATTTTTTCCAACCTTATGACATTGTGCCATGATGTTGTCACCTACAAAATTCATACTGGAGAACTACGCAATAGGCTATTTGCAAATCACATAAACATTCAATTCTGTAATGCATTTAGTAGGTTTATGATTTTGTGTTGGACCACATTGATATTTATCTTTCCCCACAGGTTGGACACAGACAATAAAGGATCATTTATTCTGGGAAGTTTTTGGGGTCTGGGTCTTTCTTTCTTTCTTTCTTTCTTTCTTTCTTTCTTTCTTTCTTTCTTTCTTTCTTCTTGCTATGTGTCCTTGTCTGGCCAGGAACTCACTGTGTAGACCATATGGGCCTTCCTTTAACTCATGGAAGTCTGTTCCATAAGCTTCCCACAAGCTGGGATTAAAGTCGTGTACTCCCGTGCCCAGTTAGGAATATTTATTGCCTTACTTCTAAGTCTTGGACTTCTGAAGTCTCTACCAAATGCTTTTATGTTTATTGAAGTATTTTCACTCTTTCTGTAGAAGACTCAATTTATTGTAGAAAATTTTGGAGTTGCTTACAGTAAGATGAGAGAGAGGAGACAGACAGGCTGCATGGATATAAGTATACCATGTGTGTTCAGGAGACCTTGTGGTTCAAAAGAAGACACAATATCACAGTATCCCCTGAACATAACCCAGGTACTTTGCAAGAGCAGTAAGCACTCTCAACCATCGACCTATTTCTTCAGCCCCTGAAATGTATCCTTTCTCCTCTTGCTCCTGTCCTCACCTGATTTCATGGAGTTCTACACTATGTATACACAAACTGGTTCAGCGTCACCACAAAGGGTGCCGTGTACAGATTTCTAAAACTGTCTTTGATTGTAAGGGTGCCTTCATTTTGAAAGCTGCCCTCAAATTCTTGTCTTCTCAGCCTGCCTGAACTCTCGCAGCTATGCACTTAACAAGGTTGCGGAATCTGTGTGGTCTCCTTCTGGGATCCAATCCAAAAGTTCCCTCTCAGGGAATGGTAGGCCAATTGTTTCCTCGGTGGTCATTGCTGGGAACTGCCCACTGCTTCCAGTTTTCCAGTGTTCTTGTGATGTGTGATGGATGTCTCTCAGCCCTGGATTCTCCCAAGGAGAAGTTTTCCATGTGACACCTTCTCCATGAGTGTCTCATGGCAACGTTCTTGAGTACTGAAACACTTCCCTCTAGCTTCACCAGCACTCTATATTCTTCCTACTCACTTCATTTTCTCTGTAACTGTTGTCACTTTGTAATAAACTATGACATGTGCTAATTGATTTCATTTACTGCCTGCCTTTTCCTTTACCCCCTCTTGCCATCCACATTCACTAGAATGAAAGCTCTACAGATAGATATGTTGTCTCTGTGCTACTCATCTGTACAACCCCAGGGTCTAGAATGGTGCTTGGTGTATTAATCAATACTATAACCAATGATGTTCTGTGATGTTAGAGTCTGAAATGGAGTGTTCCCCCACATGCACCATTTTGAACATTTGTTCCCAGTTAGTGATGGTGCTTTGGGAGGCTGTGGAGCATCTCTGGACTGTGGCCTAACTGGCAGGCATAGGTCAATCAGGATGGGTCTTTCAGGCCCTGCTCTTGCTGGTCTTTCTGCTTTCTGGTCTGCCATATTTTCAGTAGCCCCCGCTTCATAGTCCTGTGCCATCGCCACCATGATAGGCTGAAAGCCTCTGAACCTGTGAGCTAAAATAAATCTTCCTTCCATGAAGTTGTGTCTGTCAAGGCTGATCACAGTGAGGCAGAAGTAACGAATGCAAGTAAATTCAAGGCAGGTTGACATTCCTAAGATCAACACTAGAAAGTCTGAATTAAAACATCAAGAAAAGAGAACTTTAAAAATCAAAGTAAACCGGCCAACCAACCAGACAAACAAAACCAAGAAAGTTTTGTTTGTCTGTTTGAAAGTTCAACATAGTTTTTGAACTCAAACGGTCAGTTAAAGGTCGATGAGATGGCTCAGCAAGTAAAGGCACCTGCTGCCAAGACTGGCTACTTGGGTTCAGTCTCCAGATCCTACATGGTGGAAGGAGAGAACCAACTCCTGCACGTTGTCTTTTGACCTTCATGTATATGTATGCCCCACCCCTGTTCACAAGAATAAATGAAACAAATGTAATAATTATCTTTAGATTCAGGTACGAAACCAGATTAAATTAAACTTTCTCAAAACACATCTAGTTAAGCGCAGAGCTGTGCCATGCGGGTGCCACGTGCTGAGAAGGTCTCCTCCGTGAAGGAGGTGAGCTTGGAGGACATGCTTGTGTGTTTTGAAAGAAAGGGCTGTGAGGGTTTGGAGCCAGGAAAAGTCAGGGAAAAACATTCTGAAATGCTTTCTCTCTATGGTCCCTAAGTGCCTGCAGTTCCTGATCCCGGAGCCCAAAAGCATCACTCAGGTCTGTTCTTTTGGTTGGAGAACAGACAAGCAGGACAGCCAGTGATAGATGCAGTGGAGGAATGGTGGCATTAAAATCAGTAGTGAGCTCTCTGGGGATCCACTTTAGTTTGCCAGTGCTGATACAGACTCCTATGAACATAACGGTAAAGAACATTCAGGTGTGTTATCTCACAAATCATGCGAATTGCTGGTCCCAAGCGGGTACTATGCTAGTAAGATGCTGTCAGGGTCACATTCCTTCTGGAAGCCACTAGGAAGAATCGATTTTTGCCACTTTGAGCTCCCAGGAGCTTCCTACATTTATGGCCTCATGACATCCAGCTAGCTGGTTCATCATTCTAACCTGGGTATCCGTCAGACTGCTCCCTCCCCGGTCCCCACCCCACTACCTACCCATTCTCACAAGGATTCTTGTGATTTTATTGGATCAGTCCCGGGTAATCTGCCATTTTAGGATCCTTAACTTAAGCACACGTGGAAAGTGCTTTAGCTATGTAAGCCATCGTGTGGTCTGGGTATTAAGATGTAGGCTATTTTTATAGAGTAGAAAAATATTCTGCCAACCACAGACTCATAATAAGGGGTAAAATGTCATGGGTGGGAAGGGCAGAAAAAAAAGAGGGCAACACATGTGACTAAAGAGAATGAGGTCCCAGAATAAAATGATTTAGAAATAAATGTAAATGTCATTTAAGTTATTTATGTTATTTATTTATATCACCTATATCTGTAGCTTCTCAGCTGCTAAGAGCTTTTAAGAGCCAATGCTATTTATAATAAAAGCAATAAAGCTGCTGTTTAAATGCATGTATGTTATGGACAGCATGTTTGTGTTACCTGAAGTTCGCATGGTGAAATTCTAACACAGGATGGGACAGTGTTAGGAGCTTGGGACTTTGTGAGGTAACTAGGTAACGAGGGTTGGGCCCCCATCGTGGAGTTAGTGCCCTTTTGTTCTTTTCCATGTGAGGATTTGGAGGGGGGGGAGAAGACATCTGCAGAGTAGGAAATGGGCCCTCAGCAAACCCTGAATCCGCCAGCCCTTTCATCTTGGGCTTCCAGCCTTTAGAACTATAAGAAAATAAATGTCTGTTGGTTAAGCTCTGATTCCATAAGCCAACTTTTGTAGCAGACCAAACTGGCTAAGACAACATATCATCTGACTTCATTTCTGATCCTTACCGCAGTAGCCTTGTGGGAAAGCAAGTCTATATTCCCTCAACTCTGTTGGCTCTTTTTGTCACCGGATTTATTAAAGCAATCTTTTTTCAGAACACAGACAGTTCAGAAAGAAACCAATATAATATCTTAGGAGATTTTTGTTTAAACTAGGCATTTTTTCAGAAAAAAAAAGTTGGCTTATGCAATCAGAGCATACAACACATTCAAAGAAAACGTCGGAGCATATGGCAGTGTGGTGTGCCTCCAGTTCAGTGTGATGGGGCCACAGCTAACATGAAGAGGAGGTACGAGTTAAAGCGAAGCTGTAGGACTACGGCGCTGCACATACCATCTAAGGAGGCGCTTTGCGATTCATTTTTCTGCTTCTATTTTCTTTCTAGTGCTTTATTGCTGTCTCTCATTCCCAAAGCCTATAAATGCTCCTTGCCTGTTTAGCATAATAAATTCTAATCCACTATGTTCTTTCCAAGAAGCCAGTATTCACCTCACCACGCTTGCTGGGGAGAAAGAATGTTGACTTAACTAAGGAAACCGAGGTGGGAGGTTCAAGGTGGGAGGTACCTGTGAAAATCCATCAGAGTCTTACCTTCACCGGCTGCATGATCTCCATCCTGAACAGCAGTGTGCGAGTAAGATGACCGCTAGCTAAGTACTTCCTACTCTCTTGGGTTTCTGCTTAACTCTGACCACTTTCATCTTGCCCAGTCAGTCATATGGACTGAACCAAGAGTGTTCTTCTGGACTTTAGCGGTGAATAAATGATGTCTCTAGAGCCTTCATTGAATTAGAAAGGACTAATTCTGCCTAGGCACACAGAGAGGAGGGCTGGGCCAGGAAAGGGAGAGTGACAAGGCAGGATTAACTGAGAGAGAGAGAGAGAGAGAGAGAGAGAGAGAGAGAGAGAGAGAGAAAGAGAGAGAGACCCAGACCCTTGCCCTGTCCCTACGAGCTAGCTGCCAGTGAGCCCAGCGCTGTGTTTTCAGTCCCACTGAGGATCACTGGCACAAAGTTCTCGGCCACCAGGCGAGGGGACCTTCCTGGACAGAGGCAGCTCTTGCCCGGATAGCGACAGCGCGCAGGAGCCGAGGATTCGCACCAGCATACTCTAGGCTCCCATTGTGCAGCCTGCAGGGAGGCGTGGGAACTGGCGCCTGCCTACGTCCCGCGCCCCTTGCCTCTTGCTCCTCCCTCCCGGGCTTTCCTCACTCAGGAGCCCGGCAAGAGCGAGATCCCACCGTCTGTCCCTCCCAGGCATGCTGTTCCGGATGCTCCTGCTCCTTTTCTCTTTGGCGCTGATATCTCTGGGCAGTGTCGGGCGCTCAGGGGCAGGTGAGTGAGGCCCGCGGGCGGGCAGGGGCGCCCTCGGAAGAGTCCGCAGCAGCTCGGGTTTTGCAGGGTGCAGGATGTGGGGTGCGGGGTAGCGGTAGCGTGCTAGCAGCGTGCTGCAGGGACGGATGGACAACTTCAGAAGCCTTTGCTGAGTGGCAAGTAGGGTGGAGAAGGGTGAGGCTGCGCATCCTGTAAGGACAGCCCTGAATGGTCCAGGACCTGCCAGGCTCTTTGCAAACTTGCCGGTAGGAGGAAGGGTAAGATCAAGGACAAAGATTTTCTCACATGGAGTGAAAAAGGAGCTTTTTCCACCCCCTAGTGCCTAGATCACCTTGCTTCTTGGATGCTTCCTTCCTCGAAGTCCAGACCTGGTGGGATTCTCTTTCGAGCTCTGGCTTCCCACCAGTCGCCATGGGAGTAGGGGGTTGGGCAAAGATAAGCACCAAGAGGCAACACTCTCCAAAAACTGCCCCTGGGAACGCTTTCTGCAGCACCTGTTGTGGCCACTCTCATAGACAGATCCAATGATGTCGTGATCTGGGAGAGGGAGGAGGATGTCTCCCAGGGTGGCTGAGGCGTGCGCAGTTCTCAGTGGGCGAAGCTGCTCGCTGCTGATGTCGACAGAGGTTGTAGGCATCCAGCCTTTGGGAAATACCTGCGGGAGCAGGGTTAGCACCTCCCGGCAACCAGGAATAGGACAAGTGTGAGGCCGTTTTAATCTTTACATCTTGTTTCTGTGGTTAAGCCAACTTCAATCACTTTGGAAAGAAAGGTCCTTCCAAGGCTCTAACCCTCTGGATTCGTACCTAACCTGAGTTAGAGTTCAGGCTGTGGCTGGTCTTCCCATGCTACTTCTGAAAAAGGACTTAAAGTTACTTTATTTTTTTTTGTAACTAAATAGCAATTTCACATCTTTTAGTATAAAAGTATCTTTACATGTGTTTTGGAGCAACATTTGTCAGTGTAGCTGACACCAAGTATTGAAAACCAATCTTCAAGTAATGTCTAGAATTTTTATGCATTTTTGGTTCCCAGATAATCTCTGAGATTAATCTCTTCAGTTGTGGCCCACCTAATGGTCTGCGTTTTTGAGAGCTGACAGCAACCCTGAGAGATCCTTCTGGAAGGATCTGCTGCAAGAAGTAGCAAAGGGGTTACCGGTTTATGAGCACTAATTTAGTGTCAAGGAGCTTTGTGCTCACTTAAGCCTTCAATTTCCTTCCTAGGATCACTTATTGCCTGGCCTCATTGAACACCCAAGAAAACTTAGGCTACATAATCAGTGTACAAGAGGGTGCATTGAAGAAACTGCTGGCAGGACCAGTCCATGATGTGGATAGGGTTTTTATTGTAGATGTGGTTAGAGAGAGAAAGCAGCCAGAGACATCTGGAAGAATCCAGAGCAGAGAGAGAAAGAAGTAGCCTGGACATGGCCAGCGGAATGGACATGGCCAGGGCTAGGGAAATGGGAGAGAGGGAGGGGATAGTGGTATTAGCAACATAGCAAGAGATAGAGAACAGACCATAGTGAGAGAGAATAAGAGGATAAAAGAGAGCAAATGCTGGGATAGCAGAGAATAGCCAGTTACAGAGGGTGAGCAGCTAGGGACAGAGAACTCACCAGCCAGGAAGACTGGTGTGTGTGTGTGTGGGGGGTGAAATGTATCACAGGTACTTGTGAATAGGAATTGAGGGGGCCTGGCCTGGGCTTTGATATGCAGTCACAGGCACATGTCTGTGGAGCGTATGTCCCTTCTGCCAGGGGTAAGGGAAATGACTCCTTCTGGCAGATCGGAATCATTTCTACAAGTTCCCGAAGAATACTGGCTTTTATCCAACCAACAGAACCCCCTCCCCAATAACTCCTTTCTGGTTATTTAGACAGCTTGGGACCTAACAGTCAGTCAGTAAGTAGTCCAACCAAAATGCTGAAACCCAGGTGGTCTGTCGATTGTGCCTGTTCCCATAGTAGCAGTTACCAGACACCGAATGGTCTCAACAGCTCTATTCAGGTTGCATACGATAGCCTTGATGGAATCCGAGAAGATGCCAAAGGTGGCGGCTAATCTGATAATAAACAGTACTCCTGGGGGTTCTATTTTTAGTGCTTTTCTGCAAGTTGCATTTTCTTTAAAATCAACTAAACTGCTAACACCATCTTAGAAGAAGGGAAGCAAGACTGGGATACAGCTCCCTGAGAGGAGCAGTCTGCGCATCCACTTTCAAGTGCGCTTCCATCGCTTTGCTACTCATGGAAGTAGAACTTGTTGGGTCTTCCCAGATAAGTAAATAGATGTTCATGACTTAAACTAAACAATACGAATTCAGTCGTTTGCAAATGACCAAAAGCTTCCAAATGTTTCTAGCACAGCTGTTAGAGAGGCATTTTCAAAAGGATGTTGTGTTTGACCCTAAACTCAACTCTCATTAAACATAGGTCTGGCCATGTCTACAATTAAAGGAAAATATTTAGAGCTTAGACCTCCAACTTGCTCGTGCTCCCGTTCCATGGCTTTGTGGCCAGGCTAGAGCTGGAAGTACCCCACCCATGTCCCCTGGTGCATGGGTGTGAGTCTCCCTCCATCTAACAGAGAACAGGCATACAGGCCAAGAAATTTCCTGGTGCACCCACACAGGTTGAGAGGAACTGACTTTTTTCCAACAGGGAAGACTGTCTTTCAACATGATACTCAATGGCCCCTTATCATGAAGAAGTAGTGTCTTGTGCTGTGTAATCCAGGAATCCTCACGAATCTGCTTGTTGGTTGTTGAATGCAGATGAAATGGGCTGTAACCGGACGCAGCAAGCGGCTTGTGGTGACAAGTGCATTCCCGTGGCCTGGCTCTGCAACGGGGAACAAGAGTGCCCGGATGGAACCGACGAGCAGTGTGGTAAGTACTTCACAAGAGGCTGTCATGCACTGGCCTCAGTTTCCATTCCACGTCCAGGCTGAATGCTCCTAATCTGAAAATCTCTAAAATCCAAAACATGTCAGGACACACATGATACCACAGAGGGACATTGCCTGCCTGACTTTATGTGATGGGTCTCAGCCAGAGGACAGGTTAACTGAAAATGTCACATTAAAATTACCTTCAGGAGAGTATATTTGAAACACAAGCTACTTGGGGGTGCTGAGACAGGCTGACCACGAGCCCAAAGACAGCCTAGCTATAGCCTGAGTTCAAGACCAGCCTGGAAAAACTATCAAGACCCTGTGCAAAAGAGGGAGGGGTGGTGGTGGTGGCGGCGGCAGTGGTATATAGCATGTGCAAGACCCTAGGCTGTAAAAATTCAGAATAATCTTGGGTCAGAACAATGGATTTGGGTCCCATCCTGGTGACAGCTTTTTGTGCGGCGGTTCTCAACTGTCCTCATGCTATCTATAACTCTTTAACACAGTTCCTCACGATGTGGTGGCCCCCAACCAGAAAATGATTTTTGCTGCTACTTCATAACTGTAATTTTGCTAATTTCGTGAACCATAATGTAAATGTTTGTGCTTTCTGGTGGTCGCCGGTCAACCCTGTGAAGGGGTAGTTGGACCCCCAAAGGGGTTGCAGCTTACAGCTTGAGAACTGATGTCTTAGTGTGTTTGTGTGTATCCGTACACGCAAAGTTAAAAAAAAAAATCTTTAGTCTGCAATACTTCTGAAAGTCCCCAACATTTTGGACAGAGGATATTTGATGTGTTTTTGGTTGACAGTGTCCACCCTCATGGTTTTTGCCCCTCAAGGAGATATTCAAATATGAAGAGTGTTCTGAGTGGCCGCAGGCTCCATGCATCTTCGAGTATTGGTGGCGCCACTGTAAAAGCAAAGTTTGCACCTTAAGGTTAGGTGTGAGCATTGGTAAGCATATTAGTTTAACTAGGCTAATCCAGAGGCTCCGTGTGAAGCCTTACACATCACAGTACACACAAGCTCTTTTGTATGTCAACTGACCACAGAAGAGTACAAAACTGTTAGAAGCCAAGTTCACTGTTGGGAAATAGTTCGCTGCTATAAAGCCCCAGCTGTCAGTGCCTAGAGCATCCAAAGCCTCAGGTGGGTCACCTGACCAGCGATACAGGCAGAAAGCTTCTCAAGTGATGAGTCCTATCCTTGTGACATGAGGAGAATAAGGTCCTCATGGAAAGAGAAAAAAACCGAAGTATTTGTGAGTATGGCTCTTCTTCCTCTGTCTCACTTGCTTCTTCCTGGATGCTCACTTGCTCTTTCTAACTTTACATGAAATAACCTGATATCAAACATGCTTGGGGACTCAAGGTGCAGTTCCAGGGAAGAGGGTGTGCAAAGCCCTGGGTTAAATCCTCAGAATCAGACAATAAAGCAAAAACAAAGAAACAGATGAGCAAACAGAAGCACGTGTGCGCTCACGCTTTCATGCTTGTTTTGTTGTATGGCCTGATAGGACTATCTGAAGGTAGACTGAAGCAAAATCTATTTGCTCCCAGGTCGCCTTAGATCTGGAATATAGTCTCAAACATCAAAGAAGTTCAAAGTGGTGGACCGCCCTGGCCTCCAGCCACCGATAGAGCCAAAATGTATCTGAATGGTTAAATGTGAATAGACCTCAGGTCTACTATCATGCACAACCCACCTTTCGCGTGTTCGTCAGTTGTGCATGAACTTCAGACAGAGCATGTGTAAAGTGTCCCTGCTGTCAAAAGTTTTGCTAGACAGCAGCCTTCTAAAAGATGGTGGGGAGAGCAAGCCTTGAGGGCTGTTGGGGCATTGTTTCTTGTTAAGGTACAAGCCTAAAAGGATCTAGAATTATCTGGGAGGTGCATTTCTGGGCAGGTCTGCAATGGTGTTTCCAGGGTTTAACTGAGGAGGACAGACTCACTGTCTCACCGTGAGTGTGTGGGGCACATACTCCTGCCTCCAGGCTAAATAAGAAGTGGGAGAGGGGAAGAGAGAGGAGGTGTGAGCACACATCTCTCCTGATTCCTTCCTGAGGATGCACCATAGCCTCCCACTCCAGCCACCATGACGTCTCTATGTCCTTTATTAAACCATAAATCAAAATAAGTTGTTCTTCTTCTCTCAAGATGTTTCTTTTAAGTAGTTTGTCACCGTAATGGAAGAAGTAAGTAATGTCGTAGGGTCATTGCCAGGAGTGTGGAGGGGTCTGGCAAGTTCCGGGTTGTGACTAGTGTCGAACGGAGAAGTAATTATTTAAAATACATGGCATGAAATCCAGCAAACGGACGTGCTCTGACAAACTCATCTTCCTCCACGCCTGCTCTCGAATCCCACCCGGCCTTCAGAGGAAACGTGCCTGGGACACCTGCAGGCCTGGCAGTGCGATGACGGGAAGTGTATTCCTGCCCGCTGGCGTTGTGATGGCTCCAGGGACTGCTTAGACGGCTCCGATGAGGTGAACTGTGGTAGGTGCAGCTGACGCTTACAACTACACCTATTTATTTATGGGAGGGTACGTGTGTGTCTGGGGCTTCATGCATCATCGCGTGTGTGTAGAGGTCAGAGGAAACCTGGGTAGTCAGTTCTCTCCTACCACATGGGTCCTGGTGACTGAACTCATGTCAACAGGCTTAGGGGCAAGGGCCAATTGCCTACTGGGCCATTTCACAGGTTTGTACCACCTATTTTCCACAGCCTATCATCTCTCTGCTCACCCACAGCTTGTTATCACCATCAGCAGTGCTAACTGAAAGTAAGCCCTGGAGTAGCCTTAGGCTGTGTGCCCTAAGCCAGATGCTATTATTGTCTTTGGTGTTATAAGAGACTCTCAGACCTATTTCTCTCTTTTTCCTTTTTACATTATTAACTTTATTGACTTTTTGAAAACTTCTCTGGAGAGAAACTTCAGTGCAGAAAGCCACAGCATCTCTCAGTGAGTGGTTCCATAGATCCAGTCTATGACATAGCCGTAGTACTTACCAAGATACCCATGTCCCATCACCCTCCAGTAGTTCTGTCCCACGCACCCAACTCCTGCTTTTCAGAGGGTTTGGCAGCATGTCGGGACCACAAAATCCAGTGTTCAGGGAAGGCTCCGTGTCTGGATGCTCAGGAACGCTGCGGTGTCCAGCAGGACTGTGAAGATGGGTCCATGGAGGCACGCTGTTCCCGTAGCCACTGCTTGGCTGGTCAGTGGCAGTGCCAAAACAGGGCGTGTATCGTGGACAGCTGGAGGTGTGACGGCATCGATCAGTGTGGTGATGCCTCGGACGAGGAGGACTGTGGTAAGTCTGGCTTCCCCATTTCCCTCTCAAGGGCAGCGTGTAGGAGTACGTAGGCTCCTTTGTGCAGGTGGCATTTAATCACCATGGCAGAGGATGGTATCCTTTATCTAAAAACAGGGTGCTCCCTAGCAAAATCCAAGGTGTAGTTATCCACGGTAACACAAGGGCTGCTTAAATAAAACCCCTGTAATGTATATGCTGAATAAGCATTGCCCAGAATGTTCTCAGAGAATTAGAATAGTCTATGGAAGGACTGAGCACTGGTCTAGGAAGGAAGCCTAACAGCAGATGAGTCCCATTCTCACACAGTGATGAGGAAAATCTTCCACTGAAAAGGGCAAGCCCCATCCCGCAGGTGTGACAAGCACCACATTTGTCTTCCAGAAAACCCCCCAGCCCCAGGATTGTGGTGCCTCTGATTTCTTGGTGAACCAAAACCCTGCTCAGTCTTTTCGGGAGTTAGGGCTGCACATTTTAACACTCTCAGCAAAGGAAGACTCATTTTGGGTCAAGTGGCTGACTCTAGTACCATTTTAATTCCAACTATTTAAAGCTAGATCAGTCAAGTTTAGCACACTTTCAATCAAGTGCCCAGATGTCTTGCTATTTTTGCGATGGAGTCTAAAGCCCTAATTCCCTGGGGGGGGGGGGAAGTAACCAGTTCTAAATGATAAACTTTACTTTCCAACCTTGAATCGCTACCGGCTATGGAAACAACGCCACAGAACATATTGAAAGAATTGTCTCTTATGAAACTCCTCCCCTAAAAGTAGTAATGAAAAAGAATGATCAGCTTCCTCCACAGCCTCCTGCCCAGAAGGCGCTGTGAGCTGTGATGGAGGGAACTGCATCCCAGAGTCTCTGATGTGTGATGGGGAAGCCGACTGTGCAGATGGCACTGATGAACCCATTACATGTGGTAAGAAACTGCCAGCTCAGCATAAGGCGGGGGCTGGGAAAGCGGGATGAAATACATTAATGCTTTAGTTACTCTATTGATCACTTTTCGCTTTGCTGTGACAAAACACCTCACCGCAGCATGAAGCAGGGAGGGATTTATTCTGGCTGGCCGTGGCAGGCCGTGGCAGGCCGTGGCTAAGGCATGCTGTGGTCCCAGGCAGAAGGCGGTTGCTGCTTTTCTCATCTCTGAGGAACGGGAAGCAGAGAAGTCAAGTTGGAAATGGGGCTGGTGCTGTAACTGTAAAAGACCTGTCCCCAGTGACCCACTTTCGCTAGCTAGTTCCCATGGTCCAAAGGTCCCATGCTTCCTAAAATAGCACCATTATCTGGGGAGCACACGTTCAAACACGGGACTCTGTGGTTGCCATTTCGGATTCCAACCCTAACAGTTATCATCAGGGCGAACTCCTCGAGGAAATGCTTGAAATGAAATGCACACATAGGCTGCCTTTGCCTCTTATATTAATTACAATGCATTTTTATTTATTACATTTCAGCTCTGGGCTTTGGTCTTGTGAGTCGGAGCAAAATCCCCTCACTTGCAAAACTTCAAGGATTAGTCTGCGTCTTCAGCTTTAAGGAGATTGGTTAGCAAAAAAACAAAAACAAAAACCTAAACACTATACTGCTTCTGAATTCTGCAAGAGAGCCAGAAGGGCACCATCTAATGTTGGTAGCATCCATGTCACATGTCACAACAAGGGCCACACCCTCAGCTAAGGCTTAACTAGAACAATGCATTCAGACTTCACCAATCTCCTCCATAGAGAACCTTTGCTGAGCCCAGTGCACACAACTGCTTTTGTTCAAGCTTTTGGCATACTGTTTTTATATGACCCAACACAACTTTTCAGATCCAGTACACAAAACCTACAAAATCAATTAAAGCAGTAGAAACCATTTGGCAAATGTCTGGGGGAGAAATGAATCAATTTGTTTAAGAAAAAAAAAAAAAACAAAACAGAATTCTTCAAGGATTTAATTGAGAAAGACTTCAGAAAGCATGTTTCCTGGTGAGGGGGGAGGTTGTTGAAAAGTAACTCTTGTTTCTCTGTATATCTCTGGCTATCCCAGAACTTGCTCTGCAGACCAGGCTGGCCTCAAATTCAGAGATCCGCCTGCCTTTGCCTCCCGAGTGCTGGGATTAAAGGCCTGTGCCATCACCGCCCCGCTGTAACTCTGGGTTGATTTTCACTAGAAGAATCATTGTTGGATCTGGTAGAGAAGAGAGAGTGGGCATCTCACCTCAATTGGTCTATGCCTCCTATCCTTCTTGCCTCTAAAGACCTTTCTAAAGGCTTCTAAAGTCTCTGCCTCAAGGCCTCTAAAGACTTCCCCTAAAGGATTCTGAGGAAACTTACAGGAGCACAAGTGAGAGCTGTTAAAAGCACTAACCGACTAGACCAAGTTCAGGTTTTGTGCCTGAGGTGGATAACTCATTATATTCATAAATACAACATACAGGCCCAAGCCTCCTCACTGCCTATGCACCCCATGGGAAACACATAAGAAAGTCTTGGCCTCTCCATAGAAGGAAAAAAAAAAACCAAACCACCAACAACAAAAACTACACCAGCACTTAAGATTGTCCACATATTAGCTTGGAAAGAGAATCTTCTTTCCACAGCCCCATACTCTGAGAAGAGAGGGCAGGGTCAAAGGTTGTTTCTGTCATCTCTGTGTCATCTGTTCCTCACCTAGGATACAAGGTACAAAACAAAAACAAAAACACATTGTGCCTTGTAAGGCACCAACCTCCACTGAGTTCCGTAGTTTTGACAGCTGCCTTGTATCTACAGGTAAGAACTGCTCCCTGCTGAATGGTGGCTGTGAGGGGCCATGCAATGACACCCACTGGGGTGCCCGTTGTTCCTGCCCACCAGGGTGGCAGTTGCAGCCTGACGGATGGAGCTGCGGAGGTCAGAACCCACGGCTTTTAGAAAAATTCTTATTGTGGTCACATGTACGCAACTTGAATTTTACCATTTTAAGTGTACTGTTGTTGTTGGTGTGAACGTTTATAATGTACAATCATCACCACCGTGGTTTTCTTCTCATCATTCCGAACAGGAATTCTCTGTCTCCGTCACAGTGGCTCCCTGTGCCCCGTAGCCCTTAGCTTCTGGCAACCTCCCCTGACATTCTGTTTCCATGAATTTGTATATTCTATGTACCGCCGCCAGATGAGTGGGGCCACACAGTGTCTGGCCTTTGGTGTGCCTCACGTCTCTACGGTTTGTCTGTGTGTCAGTATTCCCGTCCTTTTATAGGCCGGATGGAATCCTGTCTTATGTTCGTACTGCGTTTTACTTATTGCGCTGTGGATGGTGCACTCAGGTCGTCTCTGCTTCTCTGTGATTGGGAACCACACTTGCGTGGCTGCTGCAGGACTCTCAGTTTGAATCTTTGTTTGCAGTGACCTGGCTTCATTCTAGACGTGGAGTGTTTGGAGCACACGTATTTCTACCAGGAATGCAATCTTAATTTCTCCATGTCCTTGTCAATTCTATTATTGTTCTAGTTTGTGGGAATTGCAAGTCAATTATTGACCAGCGCCAAAGTACTAAATTGAGTGCTCTACTCTATGGAGCTTAAAGAGTTTCTGTCATTGAACAAATATCCTTTTCACCTCACAGCCATTGCCCAGGTTTCAGTAGCCAAGACTAGACAGATTCTAGACTTATAGTATATTGCATTTTTGTCCTTGCTTGCTCCTTTAAACTGGCATCCTCTGAGACACTCAATCCTCATGTCTCACTCCTCTTTTTTGCAATATGGAATTATGAAACCGGAACGGCTAAAATAAAATCTTCATTATAAGCACGACCGGTAAACTACAGCACTTATCTATGACAATTCAGGATGATAGCTCAGGTTGAAATGTAGTGCAAGACTGAAGGATCTGCTCTGTTGAATGTGTTCACCCAAATGACAGCCTGAGCTCTGCTGTGAGCCTCAACTGTGTTTCTGAGGGACCTGCAGCCTACCCACCTTGCAAGGCTATCCAGGAACTTAAATGTTATGTTCTGCAATTGTTTTTATATTAAGACTTCATCAAGAGATGTTATGAGCCTATAATTAAGTTTTAATAAATCTTAGTAATTAAATTTAATTCATTTTATTGTTAAATTAAATGAATACTTTATGTTATTAATTTATTAATTCTTCATTAGAAGTTGGTCATGACCCTCAGAAGGGTCCAGGTAGTGATGTAGTTTATTTTGTGGGCTCTGACTCATGGCAGGGCTTAGCTGGCCAAGAGCTTGACTATAGCCGTACATAGGATTATTTTCCTAAGACAGAAGAGTATTGCTGTATTCTAGGACTGTGTTGTTCAGGAGAAATAACACTTTCCAAGAAATGTCCCCAAAGATCCATTTTTCTTCCTATGCCCTATTTGCGTGTGTTGTTGTTGTTGTTTTTCTTGTTTGAAGCAAGGACTCGTGTAGTGCAGGGTGGAAGTAAACTGAATATGTAGCTGAGGATGAACTTGAACTCCTGATTTTCCTATTTCCACCTCTCCAGTACTAGGTTTAATGGGTTTGTGTCATCAAGCCTACTTTGTGACCCTTGTACCTTAACTCAATTCTGTGTTGTACCTGTGAACATGACCTTTTCTGTCTTCTTAGCTGAGGTGTTCTGTTGCACAAATAGTAAACTCTGGGCTCTAATGCTTGTCAATCTGAAATAGACTCTGGCGTGACTGGCAAATGGTCCACCTCAAGAATGTTGCTAGATTAACCCAGATTGTATTTTACACCAGCCAAACAGCAGGGCCCCCTGTACTGAAACTTCTTCTAAGTCATAGTCACACGACTGAGTAACTTTTATGCACAGAAATACTGAAGCTATAATTGCTGAGTCCTCTCTGACTTATGACTCTCTGTCATCAGATGTAGATGAGTGCTCTCAGCCATATGGTCCTTGTGGCCAGCTCTGTCATAACACACCAGGCTCTTATTCCTGTGGCTGTATCCAAGGTCACCAGCTCTATAATGGCACAGACTGTCGAGTTACAGGTAAGTTCTATAGTCAAAGCAAGCCGGGTTTCTGCTCTAGTCTTAAAGTAACTGTAAAGAAGTGAGAAAATGATTATTTAACCTCTAGACTTAGACACAATGCTTTTCTTTCCAAAGAAGATGCTACTGTGACAGGCATTGCCTAACCAGAGTTCCAGTTGCATTGAGGGTCTTTAAAGTGACATTGTTACTGTGTAGGCTATAGAATTAGGTGCTCCAGAGACTCAATCAATAGCATTTTAATTTGGCCTGTGCTTCTTTGCCTCGGGGTCTCTCAAATGCGTGTGCTATGTGACAATCACAGACTGGAGTTCTGTGTAGATGAGAGCAGCCAAATCTGAAATCAAATAAGGCAATAATGTTCCAAAGATTAGCTTTAAAGGGCTGGAATTGGGGGATGGGGAGAGGAGGAACTAAGATGGCTTACTAGGTCTCCTTGGAATATGCTTTAGGGATAAGTAGATTTGCATATAAGAATAGCATCTTTAGTTAAAGGGCAAGGCATAAAAGTGTCATAGTAATATGTTACTAATTTCCTTCCACTGCAGACGATGATGTTAAAATTCTTATAGCAGCAGATAAAGAGCTTGGTATCCTGGACCGAAGAACAGGCATCTATGAGATGCTGGTCCCTGTAAAGTCCAGGCCCAGGTCTGTTGCTTATGACCTGAACAGAAACATGTACTTCTGGGTGGATAAAATCTTGAATGTGTTTGTCCTTGGGAAGCCAAACTTCATTACCCTCTACCCAGGTATTTTTTTTTTTTGTATTAAAATTTAACTCTTTAAGGCTTCTTATGTAACTGATATGAAAAAATTCCTGAGATTGCCAACCTCAAACAAAAGGAAAGGCTTTGTGGAGCTTTAATTTTTGGAGGGGTCAATTATCAACAATATTGTGGCAGAAGAGAAGTCTGAGGGAGAAAGCTGCTCACTCCATTAGAAAGAAAGAAAGAAAGAAAGAAAGAAAGAAAGAAAGAAAGAAAGAAAGAAAGAAAGAAAGAGAAAGGAAGGAAGGAAGGAAGGAAGGAAGGAAGGAAGGAAGGAAGGAAGGAAGGAAGGAAGGACAAGATTGCCACCCTACATTGTCTTTCAAGGGGATACCCAGGTGACTAGACCCCTCACTTAAAGGCTTTTACTACCCACCAATAATAATGCCACAGGGTATAGACAAAGCCTTTAATCTACTGGCTTTTTGTGACACACCCCACATTTAGCTTATAGGACCACTTAAGCATACTGTAAGAAGTCTCTCTCTCTCTCTCTCTCTCTCTCTCTCTCTCTCTCTATCATTTATCTGTCTATCATCTATCCTTCTATAATCTACCTATCATCTATCTACTCCGTCTAAATCTCTATCTATATTTGTATCTGTATCTAGATGGGCAAGCTTTTATGACTTCCTGTTATGAAGCATGAACATATATAAAATCCCAATGTGAGACATGCATGTGGTAGGCTGTCTCAATAAGAGCATCAATGAACATTGCATGTTATATGAAAGTGTTTTTAAGAAGGCTATAAATCTTGGGGTGTAGCATTAAGCCACAGTGAGCTTTCTCCATCACTAGGTATTTGAACTTGTGTCCTCAGTCTTTGGACTTGCCTCTCTAAGATGAGGGCCTTAGCCAAAGTTTGTCTCACCAGGTAAGGGTGGGGATCAACCAGACAACATAGTGAAAAAGGGCACAGAGTAGTAAGCACAGTGACAGACAGAGCTCATCAAAATTCCCAGAGACCTCTGTGGTGACCAGTGTTTGAGCTGACGCTACACGCTCTCATACTCTTTGGCTGTGCTTCTCCTTAGGTCCTCCTCATTTCCATACATCCCTACATGTTGGAGACTCTATGGAACACCTCTAGCCATTATTCCTTGAGTCCTATCTGCCTCATGGTATAGATCGAAGTCAGTTGTTAGAGAGTCTTGTCAAATATGATTTCCAAGATAAACACAGGCATGAAAGACTGTAGGTGTAACTCTGTCCCTTGTGTCACCAGAACTCCCACCTGTGAGCAGTATTTCTCTGGACTGGTTCACGGGACAGTTGTACTGGGCTAGCAGCTTGGCAAGGGTCATCTGTGCTGGCTTAAGTGACGGCAGAGGCTATGTCAAAATCTTGGAAAAAGATCTTGTGCCTGAGGAGCTAGTGGTGTTTCCTGAAAAGAGGTAAATAGATTTTTCTTGGAAATGTATCTAAAAATCTCTTGGCATTTTCGATACTGAAGAAAAGAGCCTACCAGCCTTTACATTCCATTTGCTCCACAAAATTTGTATTTGTGCACCTTAGATTGAATTTCATGTAGCTAAACCTTTCCATGCCCAATGAATATGGGAGCTGAGCTCTCCACAGCTTTGGTAGCAGCACAGAGACAAAGCCCACATAGAAAGATCTAATAATGTGTGTAAGAGAGTGAAGGCAGTTTTTAAAACCATGTGCTCCGGCTGTTTGCAGGTATCTGTACTGGGTAAACCGAGGTGAGAATGGGGTAAAGACTATTGAAACTGCAGGAATGGATGGCTCCGACAGGAAGATCCTAGCAGTTGTGACCACGGAGGAGCCTTTAGGACTGACACTTGATCATGTGACTGGCAGACTCTACTGGATCAGTGGCTATAAAGAGGTACTATAGATAGGCCCAGAGGAGATGGGAACTCTCTTTTGTTGGGAGCCTGGAGTGGGTCTACAGGTATCTACACTCTTCTCCTATGTCTACCTCCATGAGGTAACTTGCATAGCAAAACAAGAACAGCAAGGTTTAATTGCATAACATCTTCGAGTAGAGCAGACTGTACCAACAGCTTGGGAGACTTGGTCGCTTTTTTTGTTTTTTGTTTTTAAAACATACTGTATAGTCCAATGGTGCTAATTTTTTGCAAGAATAAAGATAATGATTTGTGTTGTACCCACGAAACAAGATGTTTTTAAGATTTCTGGGAGCTCCATGGAAGCATATAGTTACTTAGGCACTTTAGAGTCCCATGCTTAGATTTGCAAGTCCAAATGATGCAGTTTATAATATCCCAATTTGGGAAAGGACAAACTGAAAGATCATTAAGACACAGTGACTAAAAGCAGAAGCTCCCAGACTGATGAGTTACATTTCAAGTCTCCCTAGCTGTGGTTTAGGCTGATGGGGTGCTTCTGTGAGAGGATTAGACTCAGATATGAGAGCTCCCTGCCCCCTCTGAGAATACATAAAGCACCTATCTTCTAAGGCAATTATAGAACAGAGTGTACAGCATTGGTGCCCAGTCTGGACCCAGAGCACATGCTATAGTCACCAAAATCTGAGCAAGGACTGCTCGGTGGCCTCCACCATCTGAGGCGAGTTCCTTCCCATCGACCTGATGTCACAGTGATATTTAGTCAGTCTCCAGAAATCTCTGGTGACTGTAGCGTCAGTAGAGCCTGCTGGTGCTACCTCTGTCTCATGAGACTCTATTCCTTCAGTCCATAGAGACGGTGAAAGTGGACGGCAGTGGGAGGTACGCCTTTCCTGGGATATTGTTTGAAGGTGAAGACCCCGTTAGCCTGGATGTATTTGAGAACGCTTTCTTCTGGGCCAACCAAACTCAACTGATTCGTACCTCACCCCAAAGCCCGAAGGAGAGAGAGGTGTTGCTCCACACCTCCGTGTCAGCTTTCTCAGTCCTCCACAAGTCGCGGCAGCCCACGGGTAAGGGGGCTTCGGAGATAGAAATGGCCCAAGATGCGACCTCAAGGCTGTGGTTGAAACCTGCTGTTTTGAGGCAGGGATGTGTTCTAGTCGCTTCTCCTTCCAACCATTCATAGGACTTCTAAGAACCGTGAACAGATCAAAACCGTCATGGCAAAGCTGTTTCCAAGTCCTGTGCCCTGTTCTTAGTTGAAACATCAGCTGGGTTTTTAGGGTCTGGTGTATTGAAATTATAAGCTCCAGGCTGGAGAGTTGGTTCATCAGTTGAGAGCACTAACTGCTCTTTCAGAGAACCCAGATTCAATCCTCGTCACCCCATCTGTGGCTCACAACTCTCTGTAACTCCAATCCCAGGGGACCCAATGCCCTGTTCTGACTTTCTCAGGAACCAGGCAAGTACTCGGTGTACATACATACATGCAGACAAAACACTCACTTATACACAAGAAGTAATAAAATAAGTGAATCTATAAAAATAAAGAAGAAAAAGCAAACAATATGTCCACAGAGGGTTGGGATCATGAAGTGTAGACTAATAAGTTAAAATGGAACAGAGCTCAGAATCCCACTTTTGGATGGAAACGAAAGTGCACCAGGGAGGAATTAAAAGCATTTGTTAACACAAACTACACATCAGATTCAACTCATGTGCTTCTGCTTCATGTATTTTTTATCTTTAGCTTATTGTTTTTGAGATAGGGTCTCTCTGTGTAGTCCTGGAACTCGATATGTAGACCAGGCTGGCTATGAACTCACAGAGGTCCTCTTACCTCTGCCTCCAGGGCACTGGGATCAAAGTCATGCATCACCGTGCCAGGCTAAGTGTGTCTTAGAAGCTAACTGTGGTGGAGAATACAGAGCCCTTAAAGGGAGTCTCCCGGTAAACCAATGGGATATTCATTTTGCATCAACTCTGAGGGTGAAGGTGCAGTTGTTTGAGGTTTGTTGGCCTGAGCATAGGACAGAGGGACACTTCTCTGACAGCCAGTCAGGAGACCAGCAGGGAACAAAGGTCAGTACACCCACTGGAGCATGACAAGTATTTTTGGATTTCTCTTGAGGCAGACCATCTCACCTCTTCTTTAGTGCTGAGTTTGGAATGGATTTGGACAGGGAACTCAAAGCTATGTCTATGTTTTTGTTTAAACAGATAGAAACTCAGCATGCATTCCAGGTTCCTGCAGCCACCTATGCCTCCTGTCCCCCATCCATCCCAAGGGCTACAAGTGTGTCTGTCCAGAGGGGCTGTTTCTTTCACCTTCTGGCACATGCAGTGGTAAGTTCCTTGGTAAAATGGGTGCAATCCAAGAAGGCTTGCTCCAGGTTGGCCTGGAGACAAGGCAAATTCCATTTCGGCATCAATCCTTTCTGTTCCAACCAGCCCCAATCAAAAACAATTTGATTCCATTTTTGTCTGTTTGTTTTTAGATAGGATCTTACTGTGTGGCTCTGGATGGGAAGGAACTCACTATGTAGATCAGGCTGAACTCAAAATCACTGGATTCTTCCTGCCTCTGCCTCCCGGGTACCGGGATCAAAGGTGTGTGCCACCATGCCTGGTCCCCTTGATTTAGTTTTGTAATAGTGGTAGAATGTACCTAACAAGAACTTAACATTTAGCCATTAAAAATCATATGGTGACATGAGATGCACTCATGTTTTTGTGCAACCATCATCTAGAGCCATCTCCAGAGCCTTTTCATCTTCCCAAATGATGCTCTTTACATTGTAGGCATTGATACTACATTCTTTCCCCTGTTCTTCTTGTCACCCATCATTCTATTTTCTGTCTGTGTGGACTTGGCCTATTTTAGATACCATATTTGATGAAACTGTAGGTTGTTTGGCCCTGTTGTATTTCACTTAGAATAATATCTTTGATGTTATATTTCTGTGTTCTAGCATCTGATAGAATCTCTCTGTCTCTGTTTCTGTCTTTCTCTCTTTCACACACACCATTTTGATTTATTTTTAATTTTTTTTTTCCTTTTGGTTTTTTGAAACTTTTTGACTTTTGTCTTCACATACAATCTGGACTGGCTCTAAGATTATGTGGCCCATGTTGGCCCCCAAACTCACATTTTTGTGCCTCAGCATCCCAAGTACTGTGATCACCAGTGTGGAGTGGGCCACAACTCCTGAGTTCATCCTTGGTTTATTTTTCGGTTTTGTTTATGAAAGCTGTGAGGAGGGATATGTGTCTGCCACTGTGGGCATGTGTCCATCAGAGGACAGCTTTGTGGTGTTGGTCCTGTCATCCAGGGATGGAAGTCAGGCTCTCAGGCTAGCATTCCAGGCACTTTTACCTTCAGAGTCATTTCACTCTTTATTTTTCCTCAAAGCTAAATAATATTCTACTCTACACGTAGAGTTCTTCTCTTACTAGACAACTAGATTTTATTTTTTAAAGCATAAATGGCATATATGATTCAGGCTTATATGAAAGTCTTACAGGTAAATTAATAGAAGAAGTGTCTTCTATGATCCCTGTGGCATATCCTGATTTACTCTTTAAGTGAAGTCTCTGCTTGAACACTGTTTTAGTCCAGTATTGTTAACACAAATCCCCCCATGCTGCTGCTTTTATCTCCAAAATATCAAAGTCTGTGCAATCTATTGAATATCTCTACCCAACCTATCTGGCTTTTAAAACTAAAATGTTTTAAAAATTCTTCTAAGTTTTTCATAGTTTTAAGTTCTTCTTGTAACTATGAAACTTTTAAGAAGAAGAATAAATCATGTAAATTTGTTTGTGCTCCACATTATTTTTAAAAACCACAGTTCACGGGTGCAGCTTTGAATAAAACCATGGTGGAATAAGCTGTTGTTGCCAAGTAATCTGCTCAGATTTAATTTTGGGCATTATGTATAGCGTGCAGTTAAACCCACATACTCAATTGTTCTTTAAATAAGAGAAAGCAATCAAACAAACTTTTCTAGTAGCAAAGACAATAAATCAAGGAGCACAGCATCCCAGTGATTCAGCCTTACCCTTCCATAAAAACCCAGAAATACCCAGTGCCTTGGGAAAGCTGAGTATCACTGGCATTTGGACAACAACCCCTGTCTTTAGAGGCTATGGTACTCATGTGTGTGTGCTGCAGAGCAAGAGATAGATGAGTGGGTGCATGAGCTTAAGATAAGACTCAGAAGGGAAGCTGGGACTCATCTGATACATGGACCAAATAGCAAATCTCTCCCTTCCCTTTGTAGAGTTGAAAGTTGTGTTTTCTTCTGGCAAACGCCTATACTTGTTGAAAGTCAGCTCTATGGGAACTGCTATAGAGAGAACTCTAGTTGAGGAGCATGCTGGGAACCTCTATTTACTGGATATTGATTGGAAAAGGAACATCATCTATTGGTCAAATGTCCAGGGACATCTTGTTTATTCAGCTGGATATTCAGGACAAAAGCAAGAGATCTGGACCCAGCATACAGGTAAGCGGTGGTGGCCATCTTGTTTTCTTCCTTTATTTTCTGGTTCTGAAAGGTATAGGGCCAAAAAAGCGTATCCCTTCCGAATCTAAATGCATCTTCATGCCAAAGTCTAGGTGTGACTAATTGGATGTGATCTCTCTTATTGACCCAATGTTCTTAGGCATGACCACTGCCATGAGGCTAACTAGAGGTATAAGGCTTTAAAATTTTTGCTTTTCTGGCTTTAAGTCAGGAAAGAATAGAAAAAAAAATAGGGTGGGTGCTTTTCAATTCTTCACTTTTGCATTGCAGATTTTTCATACCCTAATTTAAAAGTCATTTGCAATGCAGATTTCAGAGAGAAAAAGCAAGATATTTTCTTAATATGGCAATATATACTTTCCCTTCCCACACTCGTAAATGCTGCACCTCACCCCCAAGTTCCCCTTATTCTGCCTAAATGCAGCAAACATCAAGACAGAGACTTGAGTTCCACAGTAATTAGATTTTTAAACATGTACCCGAGCGCTCTGCTGAATGCTAAGGCTATGCCTTGATATGAGAAGTGCCTTTGACATTTCTCTCAGGGATGGACAGGGTACCCCGAGGGCTGCAGGTAGGTACGATGATCAGTGTACAGCAACTTCTAATGGCCCAGTCAGAAAACACTCAGGATAAACTAACCATGACAGCATCTAATAGCTACCTGGGGGATGGCTGACTGCAAACGTCTTCCCACTTAATGAAAATGCCACCTTCTCCCCCACTGGATAGTCACACTAATTGGCTTCTGTGTTACAGTTATCATGTCAAGGACCGCCAGTTTCATCTGAGATGGCTCTATTGTGGAGCAGTGATAGCTTTCCATATCTATAAGGAATGCCTGAGGTGATCAACATGTAAAGAGAAAACCCCTGAAACTGAACAGATAATGCATAAATAAGTGAAGGGAAAAGTTAGTTTTGGCTCTTAGTCCATTCAGATTGACTTGCTGCTTTTAGACCTCTGGTGGTGACACTGGATGGCAATGGTGGGAAGTGAATTGTGGACCCTAACTATTCACCTCATGGTCAAAGAGCAACACAAACAAAACAAAGGAGAAAAAGAAAGGAAGGAACAAAGGAAGGGAAGAAGAAAGAGAGAAAAAAGAGAGAGAGAAAGAAAGAGGAAAGGGCTGGTTACCCACAGACCCTTTGAAGGCGCATATTCCCAATTACCTAATTATCGCCCACTGGTCCTCATTCATTAAAAGTTCCACAGCTCCCCAATAGCACCACAGGCTGGGCATCAAGGTACTAACACATGAACTTTAGGAGGTTATTCAGGATCCAAACAATCTGTAGCAGAGGTTAGACATGACAAAGGCAATGGTGTCATTCCTGCTACCTAGACCTCTGGCCTCTTTCTTACAACCCATTAACACATTTAAGGATGCTGATGTCACTGGTTTCTCTTGGGTGCCATATTCTTATGCTAAAGTTGAAAACTATGGCCCAAAAAAATCCAGTTAAAATTTTGAGTTGAAAAATGAGAGGGTGTCATAGTACATCTCTTTAAGAATGAATGTGACATGGTCCAAAGAACATTCTAGGAACCTGGCAAGCAGGCTCTCAACCTTGAATCTGGAAAGGGCCAAAATTAACCCACAATTCAATATAAGAATGAATGTTCTTTGAAAATTGCAGAGCCTGACAAAGGAGAACGAGCACTGAGCTTTGGCAAGAATAACTTCATGGATATGGGGAGAATTCTGAAGTATTATCTTGTGGAAGTTCCTCCCACGAGAGGCTGTGATGTAGTAAAGAAATGTTCCCACCCTCAAGGAAGAAGAATAAGTAGCCCATTAAGCCCTGTGTGTACTGGCTTTCCCACGATGCATCCTCCCCCTCCCATCCTGTGTAATTATTTATGTGTTTGTCTACGCCCTTGGTAGTTAACCTTGAGCTCTCACTATCATGCACAGTGGATGTGCTACAAAATGGCTCTCTGCATATTACACTTTGGATGGGAAAAGAACCCCACCCTTGGCCCAGTCATATGTTGAATGAGGACTTGGCTTTCGGGTAGCATTGTTGAGATTTAATCGTTAAGATGCTAATTTCATTGAAAACCAGTGAGACATTCAGAAATGAATGGGCTGTGAGAAGGCAGAGCCTGGCTGGGGGAAGCAGGCTGAGGATATGCCTGTCTTCACCCTCCAACTTCCTGCCCATTGTGAGGTAAACCGCTTTGTTCCATTATAATCACTCCATAAGGTTATCCTGCCTTACCACATAGAGGCCTAGAAACCTTGGAGGCAAAGCCGTGGGCCAGAATAAATCCTTCTTTCTCTACTTTTTATCCCACCTCAGATATCAGGTTGCAAAGATTAGAAAACAAAACAAAAAAACATGACTAACATAATAGGAGAAAGAAATGCGTGTATATATTCTTCGACATATGTTATAATAAAACCTACTACTACAAGAAGGATGAATAATACTGAATCTATGACTATTTTTTAAAAGCTAAGATCGACTCCCTCAGGTTGAGTTGTAGAGTAAGTGTAACTTCGACTTGAAGACTGTTTCATGCTCTGAAATACCATATAAGCTAGTGGAAAAAGTGATGAAGACACCAATGGCACTAGTTCATCAGCACTATAAAAGAGGCCCTTGATGACCTCAATAATGCATTAGAAGGACTAGAAGATGATTCCTGAATTAGTTGGCTGTTTAGAATTTAATTAATTTCACATGTACATGCAAGTGATACTATTACCTTTCTGCTTTCTTTGCATTTATTTTATTTTGTGACAAACATGACATGCATGTTTGTCCACGCTCATGTGCAGATGTGACACTTGTGTAAGTCGTTCAGAGGATAACTTTCAGGGGTCAGTTCTCTCTCTCCACCAGGTGGGTTTGAGGACACAGACTCAGGTTATCAGACCTGGTGGCAAGCATCTCTACCCACTAAGCCTTCTCTCTTTTCTTAAGCAAAGTCTAAAGGTTCACAAAACTTTGTACGAAAGGTCAAATAGTCACCACCGTGATCGGTGAATTCTTGTCATTGTATCATGAAAACAGCCTTATACAGTGTATGGATTAATGGCTATATTCCAGGAGAAGTTATCTGTAGAAAAAGGCAGTGGACCAAAGTTGGTCCAAGGGCAATTATTTATCTACTCTAGTGAACAAAACACAACAAACAAGCAACCCCAAAACATGAGCTGTGCTGACAATTTTCATGGTGTGGGTACTCCCACAGTGCCAGCTTCCAAGCCACCACGTGACATGGTTAAAATGGATCTGAGGAATGTGTGTGGAAGCAAACATTACACAGTATGCCCACCGTTCAGGAGGGACTGACTATAAAAATGAGAGCATGGTACAATTTGGGCAGTGCCAATTTGAAACTCTAAAGTCCAGAATGCCACCAAATCTCAATGTTCTTGAACACCTAGACGATGCAATAGGTGGGAAATTCCATACCTGTCCTCATCTGGTCAGGTTCAGGCAGTGTTTTATAAAGCTACTTTGAGGCCATATGTAGAAGGTCTACAGGAAACAAAAACATATACCATGTTTAGGCTGGCAGCCTTTTCCCAAGGTAATTTGCAAAAACACAGAAAGAATTCCAAATCCAGAACTACATGCAGGTCCACAATAAGGAATTCTATGTCAGTAATAGTAAATTGTAATAAATAGTGAAGAATATATTGGTTGAATATTACTTTTAGTAAATCAATATAATTAATGTAATTACTTAAACCGCCATCTTGCAGGCTTCCTAACAGTTGGCTCTCATGAGCTTGTGTATCTTACCACAAAACAGCAGATACTATTCTAAGATTTTTGCCTGTTTTGTCTAATCTCGCAACAACCTCATGAGAGAAGCATTCTTATGCATTTGATGACACTAAGGCATAGAAATTGCTATTGCTCTGAATCTTATTGATAGACTACATCCAACACTAGCTGAATCCTAGCTTAGTTCCAGCTGTAGATGAGCTATACTGAGCATGAGTAGGAAATGAATGTTTGAAGTTAGTGCATAACCCAATTTTTGCACCTGAAAAAGAATACCTATCTTAGTCAGGGTTTCTATAGCTTGAAGAGACACCATGACCACAGCCAACTCTTGTAATTGTTTAATTGGGCCTGGCTTAGAGTGCACAGATTTAATCCACTGGCATCATGGTAGGAAGCAGGGTGGCACACAGGTGGACATGGTGCTAGAGAGGTGGCTGAGAGTTCTACATCCTGACCTACAGGCAACAGGAAGAGAGAGTAACACTAGGCCTGGCTTGAAGCTCTGAAACCTCAAAGCCCACCCCCAGTGACACACTTCGTCCAACAAGAGCACACTTACTTCAACAAAGCCTCCCCTCCTAATAGTTTCCCCTTCCTATGAGTCTATGGGAGCCATTTTCATTCAAACCATGACAATACCCATGATTTTTATGTACTTGGTCCTTATTATACATACCTGTGCCTTCTCACTGTCTTTGTTCTCTTGGTGATCTTCCATCCTATCTGAAGTAATGTTCCTTGTTCTAGTCTGTTTCCCTAAATCAATTTCAGCTCTAGCCCTTTGATGTATAATTGATTGATTTGCATATTGATCTGTGAGAAGATGAAATGTGACTCTCAATTTACGGCCTGTGTCTAAATGCAGGCCACTTGGACATCTCCTTCAAGATGTAGTGGCTCTTTCCAGGTGGCTGTGACGAACAACAGAGCTCCAGTGAGAAACAGCTGTATCCAGAGTAGACAGCATGGGGCTTATGATGCAAAGTAGTGTCTGCTCAAGGGGCGTTCTCCCTTCTCTCCTTGACACACTTGAGCCAGTGCAGGAATATACCTAAAAGCCTTTTCTAATGTGGCCTCTGTTCCTCCTGCAGTTTGCTCAGCAAATGTGGACATAGCCACTGGGAACCTGTTCTGGCTACCCTGTGACCGAGGCACTATTCAGAAGACCAGAATGCCTGGTGCTGAGTCGCACACTCTCTACAGCACTCGAAACATCATACTGCAGTTGCTTCTTGATTGGCCCAGAAGAATGCTGTACTGGGTGGAGAGTGGGAAGCCCCTGCAAAGCATGACCCTGGATGGCAAAAACAGACAGGAAGTTTGGAGAGGCACCTGGGCAGCAGACACTCGGATGGCCTTGGATCTAGGGTCCGTTAGTATCCTCTGGACCACCAAAGGGTTGGGTAAGTACTGTACAGCCGTGCAGTGGGTAGAGACTGAGGACATATGCAAAGCTTCTGTTTAGCATCAGGCTTCTAGTTGTTTCTTTTAAATTTACATTTATTTTGTGGTTTTAGGCCATGGTGAAAATTTTTGTTTAAAATTTTTAACTGACACATAATAGTTGCACATAGATAAGGGGTAACTTATAATGTCTTGACACCTGTATATGATGTATATCAATCAAATCATAGTAATTAGTACATTTATCACCTCAAGCATGAGCTCTTACTTTGTGCAGAGAATGTTCTAAACCTTTTTTTTCTAGCTGTCCTACTTATTTTGAGTACTGCTTAGACAAAGCCTTTGGCTTGAAATTTGACAGTTAAGGCGAAGCACTTACTTCAAGCCTATATCTCATCTCATAGTCTGGTTTCAGAATTTAAAAACAAAAAGTTAGAACACTTCAGAAATAATAGACTTGAGAGCTTCAAAATATATACATAGTTGTTTTTTTCAAAAAATTTGTTCCTGTTTTTTTTTTTTTTTTTCCTTCCACATCTAGAAGTAACAGGAGCAAACTTCCTTTGCAAAGGAGTTACCAGGGCTGTGGTTAGACCTTAGTAACGGTGTAAGCTATAATTGTGCAGTGATTTTTTATCTTTTTACCTAAAAGCTGCTTTAGGGCCTGATGGCAACATACTGATAGCCTTCTTTTAAGTACATGCTGCTTTTCTATTATGACCAAAAGCAATTTGGAGAGGAAAAGGTTTACCCAGCCCTCCAAATTATGATCTGCAATGAAGGAAGGGAAGTCAGGGCAGGAACTCACATTCCTGGAGGCAGGACCTACATCAGAAACCATGAAGGAGTGCTACTTACTGGCTAGCTCCTCCTGGCTATTCCCTTCCTTCCTTCCTTCCTTCCTTCCTTCCTTCCTTCCTTCCTTCCTTCCTTCCTTCCTTCCTCTCTCTCTCTCTATTTCTTTCTTTCTTTCTCTTTCTTTCCTTCCTTCCTTCCTTCCTTCCTTCCTTCCTTCCTTCCTTCCTTCTTTCTTTCTTTCTTTCTTTCTTTCTTTCCTTCTTTCTTTCCTTTTGAGACAGAGTTTCTCTGTAGCCTTTGCTGTCCTGGACTGGCTTTGCAGACCAGGCTGGTCTTGAACTCATAGCTATTCACCTGCCTCTGCCTCCCGAGTCCTGGGATTACAGGCATGAGCCACCATGCCCAGCTTCCTCCTGGCTTTCTAAGTTTGTTTTCTTATATAACACAGGACCATCTGCCTAAGGATGGTACCACCCACAGTGGGCTCAGACCTCCCACATCAGTCATTATCAAGAAAATACCTCCACAGACTTGCCTATGGCCCAACCTAATGGAGGCAGTTTTCATTTAAAGTTCCTTCTTCCCAGATGACCCTTACTTGTTTCAGGTTGACAAAAAACTAGCCAACACAACACGCATTTCGACAGTGAAGCCTTGATGGTGTCCCTGCCTGTCAGACCTAAGATTCCTCCACTGTCCCACAGCTTAAGACATTCATTAGTTATTTTTAACCTATAAAACTAAAACCTGTGAAACTTACAAGGAGGGGAATGCCCTTTGCAGTTTGGGGTTTTTGGACCTCCCTCACATAGCACCTAACCCCCCCCCCCTTGCTCTAGGTCTCAGATTAATCTTGGTTCTTCCCTAGGGTTGCACAGTTTTAGCCTATTGAAGAACCGAACATGCTCATTGAACACATCCTGGAGCGATGTGGTTATGGTGGCCCATGAGCCCTACCTGGTAACCGCAGACAAGGCAGCTCTTGTGCTGTGGAACAGGAAGACTCTGGAGCCCTTCTCCACACTGAAGGAGCCACACATAAAGAAAATGATCATCTTGGCGGACAACCAGAAAGTTCCAGGCGAGTCTTTTCTTTGTGGGGCCCTCCCCCATGCTTTTTAGGAGAAAATCCCAGGTGTCTTGTTTATATTGAAACATCACCTCCTCAGTCCAGTCACCCCTATCCCTAGCTTGTTCGTATGCCAGGAGTTTAAGAACTGAACACATATTTCAAAATCACTAAGAGATTTAGCCAGTTAACTATATGTCTTAGAGTTCCCAGAGGTGTCTACCCGCTGTAGTGCTTTAGGGAAAGCCTCTTTCATGTTAGTGTATTCAAGGCTCTCAGCCTCGGTACGAACACAGTCAGCTCTAAACTACTCCCCAACGGATTTGCCAAAGCCACATTCTTTCATGAGACACAAGGCAGTGACACTGTACTGGGGACCCTCTGTGACAAACTCCCAAGACTGTGGATGCAGGCTGAACATCCTTCACCCAAAATATTTAGAATCCAGAGTATTTCCAGTTTTGGACCTCTCTTTTAGGCTATGGAGTCTTTCAGATGCGTAATGAAATAGCTTATGGATGAAACCCAAGTGTCACACTAAATTCACTTTTAATTCGTACAGACATGCACACAAGCCTAAGATCACTTCCTATAATTGTCCCAGTGTCCCCTGCCTTTTGAGTGGGACATGCGACATGAAGTCAGGTGCAGAGCTTTTCTTTGTGACATCACGTTGGATTCAGAAAGTTTTACGTTTTGGATTTCACATTTTTGGACTGGAAAGAGTGTTCACCACCTTCCAGGAAAAGCAGAATTCTTCTCTTTGCTGACTGGTGTCAAGGTGAAGCCGGCTTACATATCGTCTCACGTAATCCTCAGGCAGAGTCAAACACATCCAGTCCTATGTCATGTCATGAAGCAGGAAAGGAATTCCTACCCCAGGTCTCAGAGCCTTCCTTCACAGAAACAGGCAGGGATCGAGGGAATGGACCCATTTTTTCTCTGTAGCCAGTCCCATAACCTCCCATCATCCTTGTCTCTGTGACCCACGTAACTGACTCCTGGGTTGCTTTATCTTGAGCTCAGGAGTGAGAAGGCACCAGGTCTGAAGTTATATTCCTGAGGTGGTAATGTGCCAACGAAATTAGTCTCCCTGCTTTTGATCCTACTCCGATTTCTAATACACCCATCTGCTTGCTGTAGTAGTTGCTGACTGATACTAACTAGTAACTCGTGGCGGAGTAATTTGTGCACCTTAACGATTGAGCACCTGAATGAGCTCATGCTGGCTCTCATCCTATCCCAGGGAACCAGAAGAGCTGTAGTGCATTATGTGAGGTGAGGGACATGTTCTGAGAAGCACGTTACTAGGCGGTATCATAGCTGCGTCACTGTCATAGATTACACTCATACAAACCCAGATGTGGAGGACGCCAAACGTACACCCCCTCCAAGTAAGAGCTACAACAAGTAACAACTGTGGGACCAGAGGTTTCCGTCTCCGTTATGCTTTTGTGTTGCACCCTGTCAGTCAGTGACTGACAGAACATGATGGGATACACAGTTACACTCTGCTTTTCCTCTGTCTGATAGCTCGGGAAGGAGAAAGGTACTTGCCCAAATCCAAAGCCCGCAGATAAGGGTCTATGCAGCTCACTTATCTAAACGCACTTACATCGGGTGCTTTCACTGGTCCCTGTAAGGTAGAGCCATAAGGCTACTTTGCCTTGGAGTGGCTTTCTAAGGTGAGGGGACAGTGGGAGCATGCCCCATTGCTGGACCCTCCTGGACTGATTTGGTGAAGCGACATGGTTTGCTCTAGATCCTGGGCTGAAGGAGGCAGTGCCCACTGCCCCTCCTCCTCCTCCTGTTCTCTGTGCCCGGTCCTCTGTTCCCTGCCAGGATGGGAAGGGATGCATTCCCAGGGAGTCCCTCTGTGACGGTGAGCACGACTGTCAGGATGGCTCAGACGAAGAGAACTGCTCCCGGGTCTGCCATCAACCAGGTTGGTCACCCTGTCCTCGGTCCTTTGTGCCAGGGTCATCTTCAGGCACATGATAGGAATTGCCACTATATCCCTAATCATGACCTCCCAACTTCCCTTGGACAAGTTTGCATGCCATTGTCTATTGGAATACCGATTTCCTATGGGCCAACTTCATCCATTTGTCTGTGTTTGTTGCCTGGTGCTTCCTTAAATTTGCTAATTTGCCAGTTAATAGGCTGGTCCACTTAAATGATCCACTTCTAAGAGTTGGTCATCATTTAACAAGTTGTCAAAGCAATTATTCAAATGGTTTTGCTCAGGTCAGTGGCATAATTGACTGGAGCACATTGCTAAGCTTGCTTATGCATCAGCTAGACATCAGTACTCAGATCAAATGGGGTGCAAATGTTTAATCTTTAGACTCCGGGACAAATTGAGTTCGTTTAATTTTAAATCTTCCTTCTGACCAATGTGAGCCTTAGGCTTTTTCCATGCTAGGGGTCTTCCAGTGTCTGGATGGAAGCGGATGCATTCAAGAGAAATATCACTGTGATGGGGCTCGGCAGTGCTCCGACGGGTCTGATGAGCTGGGCTGCTGGAGGCCTGCTGAAGAATGTCAGCTGCACTGTGACAACGGGACTCGCTGCATCCCTAAGAGTTGGCGATGCGATGGGAAGCCAGACTGTTCGGACAGAAGAGATGAGCAAGGGTGTGGTAAGTTCTGTGAGCTTCCCAAGTTGGTGTGTGTGTGTGTGTGTGTGTGTGTGTGTGTATGTGCGTGCATGTGTGTGAAAACAGGGGTGCTGAGTCTCACTGTATATGTATAGTCCTGGCTGACCTGGAATTCACAGAGGTCTGCCTGCCTCTGCTTCTGGGATGTACCACCATGCCGGCTACTCCAGGATGTCTGGCTTCCAGGAGCACTTCCAACCGTTTTACAGCTGATTCATTTTCTTTTCGAAAGTTATGTTCTATAAGTTACTGTGAATGATAAGCTAAACATTACCATTGAGCAAGTACTGGACCATTGCTTCGGAGAACAAAAAAGTCTAAGGCTGGATCACTTCAAACCCTGTTCACAGCCACCTCTATCCTTCAACCAATGTACCACTGCATTGTTTTTGTAGCATTATTTAAAGATGCCTCTATACTGTTGACTTATTACCAATCACATCTAATATGATCATTTGCTACCTAAGCTACCACAGCCTTTTTGGGTGTGGGTTTGTTTGGGTGGGTTTGTTTCTGTTTCTGAGACAAATTTTCACTATGTAGCCCTGGCTGGTCTAGAACTTGAAACACCAGGTGCCCTTGCACTCACATAGATCCTCATGCCTTGGCCACAAAGGGCCCAGATGAAAGGGTGTGGATCAAAGGTGTATGCCACCATGCCTGCCACAGTGTCTTCTTGTTCTGAGAACAAATGATAGCACTTTCATCTCTCTGAGGTTACTGGAACAGTAAAGTCACTGGAGTATGAAAATGTAAAAAGTATAGTTGTAAGTAGACTGCACTAAGGATGCTAGACTACAGAGTGAGAGTTGACACAAAAGGCATAATGTCACCTGTTCAAACCAGCTGGGAGCACGTGCGTGCACACACACACACACACACACACATGCACGCACACACACACTGGGTGTTGTACTTATAATAGACGTTTGATAGTAAAGGGTTCGAGCTAGAAGCTTCTTGAGTGCTCTGCCATACACTCCTCTTTCCATCTCAGGAATAGTCCCATTAGGGGAAAACTGGTCCAGGTTCCAAAATTATTTTTTTGTTAAGTTAAAGATCTACTTCCCTGAAAATTTTGCATTTGGTGCCAGGTCTTCTAACCTGCCGGGCCATCTCACTTGCTACTTTTCTTTCATTGTTATGGGCTGCAGAGTTGTTATTATATATATTTTTTTCTTAACGGTTAAAAGAGCCCCATCACTTTGTGAGATTAGGGTAGAGGAGAAGAAACTTGAAGAATTAAAGTGGGAAGAGCATGTTTGGTTGTGTGTTGGACCACTTAGCTGGGGCTGTGATTGTGCCTGGGACCATGAAACCATCAGGAGGAATGAGATACAGAGGAAGCGGAGCTCTTCGATGGGACATACCTTTGATACGTATTTATGTTCTTTTCTGGGACTAAATCAAACAATTTCTGTTTGTAGGCACTGAGTCCAACAAGACAAAATTATAGAACATTTTGGGTGTTGTGAGAGAATTCCTCATATTGCTGATGAATAAAGCTTCAGAGGAGGGCCCTCTCTCTGCCTACTCAGATATGTGTATAGATCCTCCCATCCCAGTCCCTCAGCCCTTATTTTCCAGGCTAAGAGAGGACTGGGGTAGTAGTAGGCCTTTCCTAGTGTAATTTTTAACTTGAGTTTTTCTCCTGCCTGATGGAACTGGCTTCCAGGGTGACAGCAGAATTCAGGAAAGTCCTTAAAGTCTTTTTCTTATCGCCGATTGCGTCAGAGTTGCCTGAGCTCTTACCCGAAGCATCTCCTTTCCCAGCTCATGAAAAATGCAGCTCCTCTGAATTTCAGTGTGAGAATGGTCAATGTGTATCTTCTTCTCTGCATTGTGATGGGAACCGAGACTGCCTGGACCACTCGGATGAGGAAGGCTGCCCTGTTGCCTGGTCCATACGGTGCCCAGAAGGGGAGATGAAGTGCCCGAAGAGTGGAGAATGTGTGTTGGCAGAGTGGATATGTGACCATGATATAGACTGCAAAGATGGAACAGACGAGAAGGTAGCATATTCCTCCTTCAGAAACATGCAGAGGTACCATTGCCCCAGGTAGCCAAGGGGGGTCAGTTCTTGAATATCTTCCCAGGATGTCAGAATCTGTGGATACTCAAGTCTTTCCTAGGGCATGGCATAGTATTTGCTTATAATGGACCCACATTACCTCATGCATTAAATCCTCTTAGGTTCCTCATAACAACCAATGCAGTGTTTATGCTGAGTAAATCATTGCCACACAGTTTTGTTTAGGAAGCAGTGAGAGAAAGAAATCTGTACCTGTGTGGTAGAGAGGCAATTTTCAAAAGACATTTTTGATTCTCCATGCAGAATCTAGCGATGAACCAGATTGCTGAGTGTTGCTCTTGGTCACTGCTCTCCGTGGGGAAATTCAGGAAAGCGCGGAGGCAGAGGAGTCACCCAGAGCCGCATCAGCGTGGTGCCAGGAGACTGTAGAAAGCCAACCTTTTAAGAGGCATTTGTGGCGTAGGAGGGCCCCAAGGATTAGAACATGATCACCATGGTTTGAGCAGTCACCCTAAAGCTGAGCTCTGAGCCTGGACAGACTCATTCGTAGCTCCCTTTTTAATTATCACCAAAAGAGGCTTACTGAAGCTCAAGACTGTCCACGATGCTTCCCAGATGCCAAGAGCTTGTACATGACCTTAGCTCTCAGCAGCTGGGACTGTGTTGAAAGGCTCTGGGGAGGAACAGGTGTGCAGATGTCCCCTCCCCTCTAAATACTCAAGTCAGATTAGATGTGAAAGATGCTTCCAATTTTAATTCACTCGAGCATGTTTCCATTGTGGCAGAAACAGTTCTAGGTTCATTTCTAGATTAGATTCCTTTGCGTCTGTTATTTAGATGAAATGAAGATTTCCCAATTGGTCATTCCCTCGTACTTTATCTATTTATTTTTCTGGTTATTCACAGAACAGTTTATTTGCCTACCTCACCTGGCAGGCCACTCCTTGTGAGCTGGGGTACCCATAATTGTACTCTGCTTAGACTCAGCTTGTGTCCACAGGAGGGGACACTGATCAGGGCAGCCCTAAAGGCAAGAACCTGACCCATTGCTTCAGAGAACAAAAAAAGTCTAAGGCTGGATCACTTCAAACCCTTGTTCACAGCCACCTCTATCCTTCAACCAATGTACCACTACATTGTTTTTGTAGCATTATTTAAAGATGCCTCTATACTGTTGACTTATTACCAATCACATCTAATATGATCATTTGCTACATAACCTACCACAGCCTTTTTGGGGTGGGTTTGTTTCTGTTTCTGAGACAGATTTTCACTATGTAGCCCTGAGGCTCTTGTCCTCCTCAGTCATGGTTTGTGTGTGAGTAACAAGGCCAGTGCCAGCGGTCTTGCTGCCATCCCTCAAGGTGAAATGCTGGCCTTTCTCTAAGATCATCATCTGCAGGAAGACGAGGCTAAGCCTCACTCAGGTCCTCTTCAGGCATGGCAGGCTCCTTTCCTGGAGGCAAGATGACACCAAAAGCCATGTCCCAAGTCAGAGAGAAGATGTCAGGCAGGAAAGGAGACACAAGGAGCTTATGGCAGCAGCCTTTTTCCTTGATGAGGACATACACCAGAGAGCCTCAACCTTCTGGTGGGGCTGAGTTGACTGTAACCATGCCTTAGATCCTCATGATTCAAGTCTCAGACCAGAGCCCCCAGATGTCCCCTGCTTCAGGCTCTTGTAGAACCTCTCAATGCTTGTCACCATAGTATGGATGTTCTCCTTATATCCCTGCAACTCACATTCATCTCCCTTCTTCAACATGTCACATCCTGGTGTACCTGTTAACCACTGCGCCATGGCTAGGATAGCGCAACCTCAGTCTGTGGACAGCAGCAAAGGCCTCTCTGGGTGTGGGGTGTCCACGTCATCCAGCAGCCTCTGCACTGACTTCATACCTAGTTCAGTGTCCTGATGCTCTGGAGCGGAAAGGGCAATGCCCATGATGACCGGAATCTCCTCTCCTTGATAGCCCAATTCAGCAAGCAGCTTCCGTATCTTCAACTCTACTAGTTTAACCATCTCCCCATCCTGGACAGTGTCTGCCTTGTTCACACACACCACAATATGCTCTACCCCAATCTGTTTAGCCAGTAATATGTGCTCTCCAGTCTGGGACATGAGGCTGCCATTAGCTGCCACCATCAGGATGTAGCCAGCCAGAGGGGGCAAGCTCTGTGATCTTATCCTTCATGTAACTGCATGACCAGGGCTGTCAGTCTCGGGCACAGTGGTTGGCAGAAGTGCATCAGCACAGAAGCTGTGTTGATGGTAACACCCCGAGCTTGCTTCTTTGGGTCATTGTCTATCTCCCTCTGCTTCTTGAACTAGGCCACCTCTCTCTGCTGTAATCTTCAGGCTGTCAAGGTAGTCTCACAGTGGGTCACATGGTGAGAAGTACTTTCATGCACATGGAGCTTGCCAACGCATGTGGGTTTGTTTGACCTCCACTCTCACGAACTAGGACAAGAAAGGTGATGCTGGGAGCTTCAGCACCACAGCTCACCTTACGGCAAGAGGGTCAAGCTGGTGCTGAAGCCAGGCATCATTTGCAATCAGGTGGCAGTTGTGATTGTGTTAGCACTCAGGGACCCAGACCGAGTCCCAGGCATGGGGAGCCTGCATGCCTCCCTCACACTTTCTGTACACACCAATGAAATAAGGCGTTCTAAGGACAACAGGGCAGAAGCACACATGAACTCACAGAGACACGGAGGCAGCATGCACAGGGCCTGCATGGGTGTGCACCGTGTGGGATCTTAGAGCTGAAAGGAGAAGTGGACACAAATCTCCATCCCCAGGCCAGAAGCTAGTTGCATTTGATAGCCACTTACAAATGAAAATTTAGCCTTTTTCAAGAGTCTCACTCGGGAATCAAACTACTCTTAAGGCTAGACCACAGGTCCAGCTGCTGAAAGAGACTCGTAATGTGTGTCCCTCTGACACCCTTACAGAGAGAACTTGAGACTAGTTCCCCAGCCTGAGCCCTGTCTAACTCTGCAAACTCCTCCCTGAGGTGGATCAGGCGCAGCTGACTGTCACTGTCTCCTCAGGACTGCGAGCGCGAAGCGCTCCTGTGTGGCCCCTGGCAGTGGGCTTGCGGCAGTGGAGAGCAGTGTGTGCCTGACTTCTGGCGCTGTGATGGACAACGCGACTGCAGAGACGGCAGTGACGAGGCTGGGTGTAAGTTCAAGACATCCCCTCTGCGTCAGGAGGCAGGGGCTTTCACGGGAGTCCACCCTCTTCTGCCTTTGGATGGCTCTTGGTTGCCTACGAGGAGCCATGCGGGGGAGGGACGCTGGGGGCTGGATTGTAAAACTCTAGTGGAAGGCAATCCCCTGCCGAATAGGTACTCCGCCGAAGTGCCGGGACTCCGAGTTCGAGTGTGCTACTGGTGCCTGCCTCAGCTTCAGCGTGGTGTGCGATGGGCGAGAGGACTGTGTGGATGGTTCCGATGAGGGTGGAGAGTGTTCCTCGTCAGGATGCGACCCAGGGCGATGCCACCACTCCTGCTTCCAGTCCCCATCTGGGCCGGTGAGTTGCCCAAGCGACTGTTTGTTTTCTAGCAGTCACGTCTGTGCTCCGAGAAAAGCTGACAGTGCACTGGTTCGGGTGGTCCCAAAGGCACCTCCATCTCATAGCAGAACTGTTCTGGTTACCTATCCAGGTACCTGAACCTTCCTGGCTCCTCCTGATCCTGTCTACCTCCCTCCCATTTATTGTGTCTCTTGCTACGCCAACATGAAAATTGTTCCTGTGGCTCTTCCCATCTCTGCAGTGAGCTGTGGGAGAAATGTTGCATGGCACCAAGATCCAAATATCTCGGCAGGTCAGGAAAATGACAGCATGAAAGTTTCTTCGTGTAGATATTTGGAACTTGCCCTGCTCTTCAGTTGAGAACCGGCTGCGTTAAGGCAGTATTAGTCAGCTTCATGCAGTCACCTCTGTTCTCACAGTCAAGTAAAAGAAAGTGTCCTGATAGTTAGTCTCGCCAGCTCACCACTGGCAGATGACCAATTCAGTTACCTTCATGGGCTTCTTCTCTTATGGACCCAGCAGAGGCGCTGGTGTCCTCTTCTGAACCTAGCCTTTGTTACTCTTGTCCTGTGACGGGTAGAAGGGTGTAAGGCGTCCAGTAAGGTTGATGGGGCGAAGAGAAGTGACCATTCAAAGTAAAGCTGATTTAGTTGTCAAAATGAATGTGTTGCCATGTGAATTTCATATGAAGATCAAAACCCTTTCGTCAATGCTGTTCTGTCTCCAAAATGTGCTGATGGTTTCTCATCTCTTTCAGGTGTGTGTCTGTGACCCAGGCTTTGAGCTGGACAGCCGTGGTCAAATCTGTCAGGATGTAAATGAGTGCCAGCAGCCAGTCGGCCGGCCCTGCAGTCAGAGCTGCATCAACACCGAGGGCTCGTTTATCTGTGCCTGTCACCCTGGCTACTTGCTGGGCCCCGATGGCCACACTTGTAAGGCAACAGGTAACCTGGAGCTGAGACTATCTTCTAAGTCCTGGATCATGAGCTTTGAATCCCCAACTCAGTAACTATGGGTCAAACATTTCTTTCCTGCCCATCTGCTCTGATATGTCATTCACAGCCAGCCTAATGTTTGTTAACAAATGTGTGAATAAAGAAAATGTGATGTATATACACAATGGAATTTATTTAGCAAAAAAAAAAAAAAAAAAAAAAAAAGAAAAGAAAAGAAAAGAAAAAAAAAAAAAGAAATCATTACACTTGAAGGAAAGTGAGTGGAGCTGGAGATCATGTTAAGTGAAATAAGCCAGACTCAAGAAGACAAATATTGCAGTTTTTCTTTTCTGTGTGGAAGCTAGATTTAATTATGAATGATGCATGGCATGAAAGTAAAAGTAGGGCTGTGGGTGGGGATAAAAAGAAAGGGAGGGAGGAGAATAAGAGAGGGTAACAGAAAGGAGAAAGATAAACTATCCCATATTTTCTTTTATATATAAAATTTGTACATGTGCCGGTGTGACATGAAAGCAGAATTGGGAGTGTTTGAAGGAAGGAAGTGGACTGACATTGTGGGGAGTGGTAGTGGAGGGAGAGAGTGGATATGAACAAGGTACAATGGTGTGTATGATGCAAATGTCATAATGAAATTCCTGATTTGGTCCACTAAAGAAGAAAAGAGAAAAGATGTTACTTTTTATTTAAGCCAATAATTGCTGTATCGTATATACGCTTAAGTTGTGGTTATTATTGTAACCATTGTGTCATGAAATTTTTCATTTGAGCTAATTGACAGCCCAGCCTTGGCAACAGTAAGCCAAAGGCTGTGTACTCTGTCATGTTCTTTCATTCATAAGCCCATGCTGATAGTCTCTGTACAAAATCCTTTATGATCCCGTTGAAAGCCATTTCTTTTTGGCAGGTGCTGAGCCAATTCTGCTTGCTTCTATTGAGTTTAACCTTTTCCTTTCTGGACTGAGAAGCTTAAAAGAAGATATCCTGGCAACTACAGACAAGAACCTGGCTATTTATTCTGTGGACTATGATTTATTGGATCAGAAAATCTTCTGGGCAGATCCCAAAGCAGAAAGTATAAGGTGGATAAGCATGACCACAAAGAAGGATGGGATGGTGGTGAGAGGTAAGTCCATCTGGAAAGCTCTTATCAAGTGCTTAGAACAGCAACAGCAACAATGAGGGACAGTTAATGAAAACATGGGTTGGGTTCAATCTCTTCCATTGAAAGAGACCATGGCTTTGCTGGTTAGTGAGAAATAGAAAGACTCATCCATTGTCATCTCAGTGGACTTGGGTTCTACCAAGCTGCAAGCCATCATCCACTGCTTTAATGATGTATTTTGGGACATATTAATAATTTTCTCGGTTGGATATGTATACAGCAGTTGGAAATGAATGCCTGCAGCATGCAAGTCTAGAACGTACTGAAGTTACAATTTAGCATAAGCACACCTGTCAAATGGTCTCTTTAGGGATAAAGCCAGACTGTATAGGGGTTGACTGGATTGGAAGAAATCTCTACTGGACTGATGGGAGAGCTGGCCAGATTTTGGCAATTCAGCTAACTGCTGTTGGTAGAGAAAAATCTGAGTACACAGTTGTCGTGGATGATGATGTGATTCAGCCCCAGGCTTTGGCTTTGGATCCCCTGAATGGGTGAGTCAGGTGTCAAGACACCTGGTCAAGAGCCTTAAGCTCATTATTCCTCCCTGGTTCTACTTTGATGCTTGCGTTAGCTCAGTCCAGAATGAGTGAGTTGAAAATGAGTCAGGGTTTTAGATTTAATGCTGAATGGCATCAACCCAATGGGTGGCTATTAAACATTTCAAAACTTTGGGGAAAGTTCCAAGTGCAATTCATGCTGTGGTCAACCAGCAGTTTCTAAGACAAACAAAAGGACTCTTGGAACACAGTTATGGTTTTGAAATTGCAGATGAGGAGAGAAGGGAACTCGTAAAAATGGTTAATTTATGATGGTTTAGATTTGACTTAAGCTTGAGTGATTCCAGTTACAGTATTTTCTTTCTGAAAAAGCATGTAATTTTATAATTTAAAAATTTAGTGTGTGTGTTCCAGTGCCATGGTACATGTGTAGAAGTTACCGGACAACTTGTAGAAGTTGATTCTACCTTCCCATCATTTGGTTTCCAAGAATTGAACTCATGTGTTCAGACTTCAAGGCAAGAACTTTCGTCATTAATCCTTTTCTCCAGCCCAAAGGCACACAAGTTAACACTCCCATTTTATCATTGGGATGACTATATGTGTATCAAACATAAGAGAAAGATACAGAAAATCTAGAGTCCAATGATAACCCACTTTTGATATCCGTTTTCTTATCTTTTTAACACATCTTATCAGGAATTGTCAGCATGCTTCTAGCAATAGTTTCTAGTCCACATAGCCAATACTGAGGTCTCACCTAGACATCCACCCATGACAATTTGTAAAACTACTTACAGCCTAATTTTTATTTTTTTCTGGTTTTCTTTCTTTCTCTTTCGTTCTCTCTCTCTCTCTCTCTCTCTCTCTCTCTCTCTCTTTCTTCCTATCTTCTAGTTAAGAAAAAAACTGGTAAGTTTTCTGGAAAGTTTCCAGGGTATGGACTATTGTACTCCAAAGATTATTGTAATAATTAATGACAATTAAACAATCACCATAACATTTCAAGAAAAAAACTTCCTTTTAACATTTCACAATTAAACTTAAGAAACTGAACTAATTAAAAGTTGAGGGGAGAATTAATTGAACCATAAGTCAGTATTTTTCCTTTTTTTAATGATGACATTAAATTCTAAGGCACTATTTTTTTTTTTTTTAGTTCCATTTGGAATCTTTTTATTCTTTGTAAGTCAGCATTTCAAGATGTTCATTGATAAATGTTTTCTCCAAGGGAATATACTACTTTACTGCTGGCTTTTATTCACACAGATTGATGTACTGGTCTGAAGTCGGAGAAGAACCTCAGATAGAACAAGCTGGAATGGATGGTAGCAGCAGAAAGATACTTGTCAATCAAGGCCTTGGTCGGCCAACTAGCATAGCTCTTGACCGATTAAGTTGGAAGATATTCTGGTCTGATGAGAAACTTCACTGCATTGGTTCTGTCAACCTCGATGGTAGTGGCATTAGTGTAAGTGTCCTTTTGACATTAGGCTCAGTTGAAATACCATGTGTCCTGTATAAAACTCACCTTCACCATTGTAGATGATGCAGCTAACTCGAATCAAGAGCCCCTTTTCAGTCGCTGTGTTTGAAGACGAAGTCTTCTGGTCTGACCCAAAGACAAGAACAATACAGAGTGTGGAGAAGGTAACAGGCAAGGGCAGAGCTGTCCTCATCAAGCGTTCTGAACAGCCCTTTGGACTCAAGGTATGTAGAGTACTCTTTAAAACACCTCCCTTATCTGCTTTGAAAAGGCTTTGTCTATGAGCTACCCAATCACCAAGTGTAGTGGCACCCATCCACACTGATTGAGGGCATTATTGGGACTGTGGCTGTACCTCCGAGGTAGAGTGGTACATGCTAAGCAGGCATAAGGCCCTGAGTTTAATCCTCAGGAAACGGACAAAGGTAGAAGGGAAAGAAGGTACAAAGTAGGGAGAAAGGGAAGGAGTGAAGGGAGAGGGGAAAGAAAGGGAGGAGAGGAGAAAAGAATTGGTTGACTTTCTGCTTGAAAGTATTTACCATGTAGCAGCATCAAAATGTCCTTCTTCCTTCCTTCCTTCCTTCCTTCCTTCCTTCCTTCCTTCCTTCCTTCCTTCCTTCCTTCCTTCCTTCCTTCCTTCTTTCTTTCTTTCTTTCTTTCTTTCTTTCTTTCTTTCTTTCTTTCTTTCTTTCTTTCTTTCTTTCTTTCTTTTTCAGATAATGCATGAAGTCCTTCAGCCCAGGTCTTCTAGTCCTTGTCTGGATGTACAATGCTCTCACTTGTGCCTTCTGAGCCCACGAGCCAAGGGAAGTTGTCACTGCCCGGTTGGCCTCCTGCTGGCAGAAGATGGGATCACCTGTGTCTCCCCACAAGAGTCTGAGTTTCTTTTCCTGGTGTTGCCCAGTGTTCTCACCCAGGTACTGGTCTAGAGCTTTCCTGGCATGCCTACGTTTGGTTTGTGTTCTGTTTCTGTCTTCCAGTGTTAGACTTTCCCACCTCCAGTTATAAATGGTGGAGGCCCTTTCACTTGGAAAATTCTTAAAACACAACTTATGTCTTAGTAGTCACTGTGCACCGGATATCCTTGTCATGTAAAACATCTCGATCTGAAAAGGGATAGGGTGACCAAAGTAAGGTTTCTTGAAATGCTTAAATGAAAATGATGTGCATTTTAAATTTAAATTCCTTTAAGATCTACTTAGTATGTGGGACACAGTGAGATTAGGAAGCAGAGAGCACGTGTGCTCCTTTTTAATTACCTAAATGTTTATGGGGATTCTGATCAGTTCTAAATTCAAGCAGCTCCCTGGGCTACAGCCTGGGGAGGAAGCATGTTTTGTGAAGAATCATGTCTTAAATTAATAGAGGCTAAAATTACAAACAAGCAGGCCGCTCCCCAGCGGATATGTCAGTGCTTGGTATTGTAAAACAATGGTACAGATGTTGGGGTTGAAGAACAGCTCCAGTGTCAGTGTGATATTAATTAATAAGTGTCATTTAAAGAGAAACACCTTTAAGAGAGATCATGTCTTCAATTGATTAAAAAAATGCCTTGTAAGATCCAGCTATAGGGCATTTTCTTAATTCATGGTTGACATGGGTGGGCCCAGCCCATTATGGTTGTGCCATCCTTGGGCTGGCTGCCTTGGGTTCTATAAGAAAGCCGGATGGGCAAGCCAGGAAGCAACACTCATCCGTGGCCTCAGCATCAGCTCCTGCCTTCAGGTTTCTTCCTTCTTTGAGTTCCTGTCTTGACACTTTTTGATGATGAACTATGATGTGAAAGCATAAGCCAAATAAACCCTTTTCTCCCCAACTTGCTTTTGGTCATGGTTTTCATTAAAGCAATATGATGACTAAGACACATGGATTTCAGGAATTCTCAATGGTAGAGGCTCCAGGAAAGGAACAAATCAATTGCTTTCTGTTTTCTGAAGATAGAATGCCTGAAAATACTAATTTTAGAAACCTAGCACCTGAGAGGCCTCCCTTTTTTGTGCCTTTTCTGAGGAAAAGGGGAGGATAGAAGGATGGCAGGGGGTGGGAGGAAAGGAGTGAGGGGATGCTGCAATTGGGATGTAAAGTAAATAAAATTTTAAGATGTATATATACATAATTTTTAAAAAATAAATTAATATTATACTAAAAAAAACCCTACCACTAATGCCATATTGAGATTAAACAGTTCGAGTAGACTTGATTAATGTTCTCCACCTAATTTTCCCAACAGATCTATTTGAAAAATCTCAAGACTACCTCACAACAAACAACCGTACCAGAACACAGAACACTTCCCTTCACCAGTGTCAATCAGCTTGCATCCATGGATTATCTCGTCCAGGAAAAGGCCCTCTACCTGTCAGAACTCAATACCAGTGACATCAGGCTACTGAGGCTGAAAGAACCAGGGATACTCTCCTGGCAGAGGGTCATCTCTGTGAAGGGGACAGTGATAGACTTTGCTCTGGACTGGCTGAGTGGAAACATATATTGGATTGACAGTGGGAATCCCTCCATCAATGTTGCTTCCTCTACCGGCCAGTATCCCACTGTTTTGCTCAGGGAAAACCTTCATCACCCAGCCTCTATTGTCCTCCACCCACCTACTGCTGTCATGTGCTTGGCAGACCTGGGTTTGCAGGATGATGGGAGAGATGGCTCCAGCATTGAATGTGCCTCTATGGATGGCAGCAGGAGAAAGGTGCTATGGCTGAAATCCCAGGTGCCTGTGGGCCTGGCCTTTTCGGATGCAGGGACCCGAGTGTACTGGGCTGATACTGGTAAGCAATGAATATCTGCACCCTAAATATGAACCTCACAGACCTGCACTGAATATAGAAGTTCTGGTCAATGACCTTCAGCTATAACCTCAAAGAACTTTCAGATCTCCCGAATCTGCCAACACAGTAGAGACAAACAGATCTATTCCTAAGCAGCACAGAGCCATGCAGCTGCTCCTTTGTAAAAGAAAAGACTGAGAACTCAAAATACGTGAATGATAATGGGGGGATGGTTCAGTGGGGAAAGCACCTGCCTTGCAAACTTGAGGACCTGAGTTTAGATGCCAAGAATCCATGTAAATCTGGGCATAGTAGCACATCTTGGTAATCCCAGTTGTCCTGATAATGGAGGTGGCAGCTTATTTGCCAGCTAGCCTGGTTTATGAGGTAGCAAACAATAAAGAGCCCCTCCCTCAAACAAGATAGAAAGTAAAGCTAGAAGCCTGGCTTTGTTCACTGACTTTAATATGTATACTGAGACAAAAATATCCCTGCACTCACATATAAGCGCATGACTTACATACCTACTCATCATGTACAAACACATCACATCATATCATATCATATCATATCATATCATATCATATCATATCATATCATATCATATCATATGTGTGTGTATAAATAAACCATTGTGAATCACTGTTATGGAGAGGCAAATAAGAGAGACCATTTCGGAGCTTGGATGCAAACAGTGTCATCCTGAAGCTGGGACAAGATATAGCAGGCTTCCGGAGATAGTAGAGCTATTAACACTAAATGAAATTAACTGACCATCTCTTCGCAGGGCAGGGACTTATACAAAGTATTCAAGTAGATGGCTCAAGATACAGAGTGGACCATCAAGGACTTAAGGGTCTTCACCTCTTTGCATGTGGTCAAGACACGATGTTATGGACAACAGTTGGTGATGGTAAGTCTCAGTAGGTCTCTCTGCAATCCAAAGAGTATCAGTCTCTGCTTCACATCTGTCCCTAGCAGTGTCTTTCTTTTAGTGGATGTCTGACCTTCCTAGATTACAGAAGGATGTGTAGCAGTGCATCTGTGACTTGGAGGACCTTTCACTTATTATTATACAGACTGGTTATTCTCTGTGTCGGTGGTTTTCAACCTTCCTAATGCGGCTGCCCTCTAATACAGTTCTTCATGTTGCGGTGACCCCCCAACCATAAAATTATTCTTGTTGCTGCTTCATAAGTGTAATTTTGCTACTGGTACTAAATGTAATGTGAATATCGGGTAGGCAGGATATCTGATATGTGGCCTCCAAAAGGTCGCTATTCATTGGTTGAGAACTACTTCTCTATATGAATAAGCTTAGGTCCTGAGATTTCTCTATTTCATATGATTTTTACTGTTATGTTATCAATCTGTCACTTGACAAAAGACCCATGACAACCAACTTTATGAGGAAAAAGTTGAATTTGGATGAGTAGTTCCATGGGCTTCAGTCCCCTTGTCCCTGCATTTGGATCTTTGATGAGGAAGAATATCATGATGGATCATGTGGTGAAGAAACCCGTTCCTCCATGGAGGCAAAAAGCAATGAGTGTTGTAGTAAATAAAAGTGGTGTTGGGCTATATAGTGTTTATTTTTCTTAGCCCTATAATTATTACGATGCTATTATTTAACTTGCTATCACAATTAACAGACACCTGTTAAATTTTATAGTTGCCTTATTTACCTTCAGTTGGGCAGATATTTCACCTACACTGTCTCAAATAACCTCACCATCCAGCTCCCTGTCCTCATCCAATGCCATTTACCTTAACCATTCCTATTTGGGCTACCTTCCCAAATTATTGATACTTGCTTATATATTTTTTTTTATCTTGGTGTGTGTTTTCTCCATCCATGCCATCCTTGGAGTCCTTCCTCTCAGACCATGTTGTTTCTTCTCCACACTAACCCATTGTGGCATCCTCCTTCTTCCTCTCTTCCCGACTTTCTGTCAGTTTCCCATGATTCTCCTGTTCTCAAAGCCCTGAACCTTAGCTACACCTACCCCATTCTGCCCTGCCCAGGTTTAGGCTTTTTAATCAATTGATGAGATAGAATATCTTAGGCAGGTTTACACAACAAGGACAGGTGTATCCAGGAAGTAACCAGATCTTGAGGGCCAGTAATTAGCATCAAAATACAAGCACCAGACCAATCCCTAACAATTCCCCTTTACTGTATAAATAAAAAGGCTGTTTTATACAGTAAGAATAATTATGAAACAATTATAAAAAACAATACATAAGATTACATATATATATATAAGAATTCATATATATGTAATCTTACCTATATATATAATATATATAATCTTACCTGTATATATATATACATATATATGTATATATATATGATGTCTAGTCTAAATGTATTTGGCAATCTTGAAGAAAATATCTATTTTATCTATGAGGGTCTAAGGCTTTGTACCTAAGTTACTTTTTATTATAGTTTCTATCTATCAACCTAAAAACTTCTATCTAGATCTGAAACATCTCTTTAATTCCTAAGCAACTAAGCTAATTATAAACCTATGACTCTCTGGTCTTCAACTCCATCAGAGACTTGAGAAGGAATAAAATTAATTATCTAAGTAAGTAGGAAGTACATTTTATTAGCTTCCAAAACAAAACAAAACAAACAAACAGAGACAATTTGCTGCCTGGATAGCTACCCAAAACTCGATAATATTGGAGCACCATCTTCAGCCTTTTAGCCCAGTACCTTTGACAGACATATATGTGAAACAGGAACTATTTAGGACTTGCTTACCGTGTCTTGGCAGAGCTAGGCAGTCAACCTGTCCTGCATTTAAGCTTGCCCATTTTATGTAGGATTCTGTATGTCCTAGAAACAAGGGCATTTCCTTTGCCTAAATGGCTGGTTTGTCACATTTGCAGCTATCTCTATATGGAGGTCCTTTGATGTTCATCATCTTCTTTGAGGTAGACTGGATGCTGCCAGATGCCTCATTGTCAATGAATCCTTAAAATAATAAAAACATTTTTAAATGCCATATTCTGTAGGTCTCTGAGGTTTTTGAAGACTGATCTATTTTTATATAATCTATCTATAGAATCATATCTATCTGTTAAACCTAGGATGTATATTACTGTTATAAATTAGATTAGTGTCTGACATGACCATGAGTTGATTAACAATTAACCTACCTAGTTTACTGTATTAATATACCAAAATTTATACCAATGCATTAAAAATACTTATTTTTACATCAATATACAAAGGAGAGAGAAAGAGGAAGACCAGCGACCTAGGATTCCTACCTAGGGCAAACCATTAATAATCTAACTTTCTTTGCCTTAACCCCAAGCTGGAGACCAAGTCTTCAACACATGGACCTTTGGTCAATCCTAGTTCAGAGAGAACAGGCAGGGCCAGGAGTTGGATCTAGGTGGCATGCCCACCCTCAGTTACTAGTTGTTTCAGCTTACCAATCAAATGACAATACATGTCTTAGTTGACAAAGTAAACCTGAGATACTAGATGGATTATACAACATTCTTTCTATTTTCATTTTAAATTACCTTTTCTAATCTGTATGCCCTTTTGTATGTACTTTTTCTACTTGTATGCTCATGTAAAAAAAAAATGGGTTTCATTGTGACATTTTCATACATGTTTACTATTTATAGTTTATTCTTATTCAAACCCTACAGTCTTTCACAAAGCCCTGTTCCCTATCTATTGATTTCCTTCTTCCACTTTCTCCTGCTTCTGCTTTTCTGACACACAGAGCTTTATCTGGGCATTTCTAAGATTTCCACGGTGTTGTCCAAAATCACAGTGTTCTAGTATGTTGCTGTGTCTATGATAGATCCCTGTGAATATCCTTCTAATAAGTATCTAGACTTGATAAAAGTGTAGAAAAGATTTAAAATAAACCTGTTCCCTTAAATTTCCAAGTGCCTATCAGCCACAGCAAAACTAGTTTTCAGATCGTTTCCCAGAGGATCTGAGGGATGTGATGAGCCCCTTCCCATCTACTTTAGGATCCCTCACAACTCCTACAAATGAGCCATCTCTGGAGGTGTGTTATAATGAATTTTGAGATACTTTTCCTTAATCACATAGACTGTATTTAAGTGTCAGACATTCTAATTATCTAGTCTAATATCTATTGATGTTCTAATGACATGCAACTTTGAATGTTTATGTTTGTGTGCTTACTTTTTGAGACAGTGTAGCCCAAGTTGGCCCCAAAATCACAGACCTTCTGTCTCAGCCTCCTGAGTGCTGGGATTATAAGAGTGTGCTACCACAAATGCTTAACACTCAACTTTGCTGGGGTTGGAAGTTTGTAGTTTTCAAAAGTTCTCTCAGAATTTTTTTTTCTCAAAATGAAACTCAAAAAAATACGTCTTCTGAAAAGTTCTTTTTGTCTCATGAATAAGTTAAAATACTTCTGCTGCACATTTCTTTGCCTAGGAAACGGTTCTGCCATGGATTTTATTTTGTTTCAGGCCAGATCACCAAAGTTTGGTACAACAAAGCACGGATCTCAGAAAACCAGTGGTTCCAAGTAGACCAGAAGATTGTAGACTTAAAAGTGTACAGTGTACTTAGTCAACAGGGTAAGTACACATCTGGTGATTATGAAGACATTGCAGTCTCCTCAGTTTCCACGGAGGGGACAGTCCATCCTCCCATCTCCTTGGAATGTCTTTGTGTTTCCCATTGTGTTAAAATACTCCTTACTAGAAGTCTTTCTGGTCTATGCAATGCTCTCACCCATATGCAGTTCTCTAGAGTCTGGGTTATGTATACCGTTGGCACCATTGTCTCAAACACAGCTATGGTAAATCCACTGGGCTGAAAGTTGGTAGACATGACGCGTTAGCTTTCCATAGCTGTTACTATAACACATACGGAGACAGCTGACTTCTACAGAGGGGAAGGTTTTTCTGACTTGTTGTTTTCCAGGTTTCAGTCTGAAAATGGTCTGCCGCCTTGCTATGGGGTCTATGGCAAAGCAACATTTTATAACAGGAGCATGTGGCAGAGAAAATCTGTTCTTTTCGTGTCTGAAAAGCAAAAGAGGAAGAGACTAGAGTCCTATAGTATTCTTTAGAGGTGTCCTTCCACTGTTTCATTTTTTAGGCCTTTCTGGCCTTGTCACTGGATGAGTTTGAGCGATGCATGCCAACAACGTAGTCGTGAATGATTAAGTTATCCCCTCAATTCTCAAGGTGGTACCTTGTTAAGCATTTAACCCACATTGATCTATGAAGAATTATCAGTTACACAGAGCCTTTTTAACTAAAAGGAATCAAACTGAAAGGCTTTCTAATTTGTTGGAAACATCTGCTAGTAATGTATTGGTAAAGAGCTTGTGGACAACTTCGTCAGAGCCTAATCTCACTTACTATATTTTGGGGTTGGGAATTGGGGGTGGGCATACACAGGTAACAACAGCTGTTCAAAAGACAATGGAGGATGCAGTCACATCTGCTTGCCAAATCCTGAGGGCAAGACTTGCAGGTGTCCCAGTGGCTACTGCTTGGTTGATGGCCACACATGTGTAGAAGCTGTCCAGTGCGCTCTGCTGTCACAATGCTGTAAGGACGGCCAGAGGTGCATTTCCAAGGAGCAAGTTTGCAATGGGCATGTTGACTGTCTGGACGGATCTGATGAACTGGACTGTGAGTACCCCTGACCCAGCACTGACCCTGCGTCGGTGTTCATGGCTTTTGGAAATATCCAATTTATTACTGTTCCTCATCCTACAGTTCACTGCCATATTAACACTGATTTTTGTTACCGGAGAACTTGAAGTCTCTACTTGTGAGAAACAGGATATAAATTGCTGTACATTCTTCTGGAAAGCTAATATGCCTTTGGTTGTTAGGAGAGAGGGCATGAGAGTGAGCTACAAGAGGCTGGGCAGCTTTATATTGTTTGAAGGGGCTTTGATTTCACCAATTTAAATAGAATGACTGAGTAACTAACCATAATCTAGGGAAAGAACGTTGTGCAAGTGATTCCATCAGTCTTGGTCTTTGTAGGTATGAACCCAAGTAGACCCCATTCAACATCAATGCTTAAGAAGCCAGAAGCTTGGAAAAGGTTGACACCCGAAGCTTTTGAACTTTCCCAGGCTGCTGAGTCTACCACGGATGTACATCTAGGACAAGAAGGAATGAGACACCCTGTCAGAAAAACAGTGGAAACTGTCCAGTCTAAGGATCTACAGAAGGCAACATATATGCCCTGTAGCCAAGACTTTTGCAATGGGAGAGGGATCTGCACTGTGGAAGGAAAGCTGAGGAGATGCCGCTGCCTGATGGAGTATGGTGGAGAGTTCTGCCAAGAAGTAGCCCGGGGCCCTGCCTTGGGCTATGTAGCTCTGGGTGTAGTCATTGCTTTATCAGCTGTTCTGGCAGTGCTGGGGCTGTCTCTACATCTCAGAAGAAAGCGTAAATTCAAGAGGCAAGTGACTAGTAAAATGAGTGGGTTTGAAGACTTAAGTCCACTCCAGGAGTTCGTTTTCTGGGGAAGGGTTTAGATGATGAGGCACCTGTTAAGTAACCTGGGAAAATAGTAATTGGGTCCATGTCCTTGAGTGAGACCTGAAGTGTATGATGCAGGGTAGGCAAGGGTAAAATCGGCTTTAACGGCCCTGGCAGTGAAGCTGCAGGAATGAAAGCGAGGAGGCTGTCCATCTATGGCACAGTTGGCTAGAACCAGATATTGCAGGGATGTTTGGTTGGAGGTTGTTAATTTGCCAGGATGCCAGGCTGGGTATCACAGAGAGCATGGACACACGTTTTCAGGAAGTCAAGGCACATTGCTTGGTTTTGTTGTTTTTTCTTCTTGGCTGATAGACGTTGGTAGCTCCCTTTCCCCTTCACAATGTCTTCCCCTCTCTGTGTGTCTGCCTCTTAGGGAGACACAGTCATGTTGTGGTGGGGTTCATCCTTCCGGCCTCATTTAACACAATTGTCCCGTTAAAGACTCTACTATCTACATCTCATGGATTTGGGGGCATTGGTGGGGTACAATTTAGCTTATGCCTAGAGGTGAAATTCAGGAATACTGTAAAGAATGTATAGTAAGTTTTATCCAAGGGCAAAAAAGTCATTAAAGAAGCAAACAACAGCAAAATGGTACTTGTAACATAAGACAGAGAGTAGGAAGGTTTGTTTGAAAAAAGTGATTGGACATTCTGAGAAGGAACATTAGGCAGCCAGCACATGAAGAATTATAATGGGGCCTAATGCTTTAGAAGCTGCTGTGATGTTCTGCCTCTTATTCACAGACTGAAGAAAAGGCAGGAGAATGAACATGCCCTACCAAACGCTAGTTAATGTGTTACTGGTTCACTCTTGGTCCTTCTGCTCTGTTTACCTGCTTTCCTATTTTACTTGTGTCCCACTGCCCCGTACCTGTCCTTGAAGTCATTTCTCACTGCGTTTCCTTCAGGGGAGAATCAATGCTGTATTTGCCTAGTAGGAAATAATAATTGACCCAAGTATCATCCATTTTCTTTATTTAAGAGAAAATTAAGATGAAACATAATTTGTATGTAATTCACCCTGACAGTGGATAAGTAATTATATATTTTTAGATTTATTTCTTTTTATGTTGTATGCATGAGTATTTGCTTGGGCGAATGCATGTCTATTATGTATGTACAGTGCTTTCAAAGGCCAGAAGAGACTGGTGGATCCTTGGAACTGGAGTTCCAGACAGTTTTGAGATTTCATCTGGCTATTAGAAACTGAATTCAGGTCCTCTGCAAGAGCAAGAAAAGTTCTTAGGAACTGAGACATCTCTTCCCCCATCTCTTCTTGGTTTCTTTGAAAACTATTCTTTTGACATGGTTTCTTTGATTGTAGAACATCATCAAGAAATTTGGACTATGATAAAGAAAATAATCAAGAAGAGGAAAATCTAATGAATAGTGAGACTTTTGTCAATGAAGTCTACAATGAGCAGGTATGCTGAGGGAATCTGGGGAATCTCTCTGAGGAATAATAGGGTTGGTGAGACATCCTTAAAGAATGCCATTATGAAAGGTCCACGCTGAGTTAATGTGGCTGTTCTTTATGCTAAACTTCTGCTTACTAAGTCTTTGGTCCTCAGCTCTGCTCTGGAGAATTAAAACAAAGCATGCATGAAATAGCAGCTCAGGCATCTCAGCAGAGTGCACCTGGGACTAATGATTTTTGGAGTGAGATGGGATGCTATTAGGTTTTAGAGTTACACACACCCCCCAACTTAGGTATCCCATCCCTGTGGTCTCTGCTAATATCTCTTGAAGATTTATTTATTTATTCTGTATACAATGATCTGCCTACATGTGTGCCTGCATGCCAGAAGAGGGCACCAGATCTCATTATAGATGGTTGGGAGCCACCATGTGGTTGCTGGGAATTGGAATTGAACTCAGGAGGTCTGGAAGAGCAGACAGTGCTCTTAACCTCTGAGTCATTTCTCCAGGCCCTTTCTGCTAATATCTCGAAGTCTCAACAACTCTATTCTCTTGTTTTCTACAAATGCAGCAGGTGTTCTCTAACTTCAATTCTTTCCCCCCACAGGAATCTTTAACCTCTTTACAAGCTGAATGACCTCATCAAAACAACAACAACAAAAAGAGCTGAAATGTTTCCATAAATAAATATTGCTTATCCAGTTTCTTGTATGCTGTCTTAACTTCCTCGACAGTTTGTGGTAAATACTGATTACTTCTTCAGGTGATTCCTTCTGAAATTAGAGACGGTCATCTGGTTTTGCTCATGGGTTTTAGAGAACTGTAGCCTCTTAGATACAGTGAGGGTTCAATGTAGTTTGCCCTATGACCCAGCTGCAAGTACTGTTTCGTGCCAGTCAGCTGACCCAGTGCCGGCCTGAACTTCTTGATTTAAACCTTGACTCTAAAGCTGACTTTGAGATAGTCAGTCTTCTGAACTACTTTCTTAGTCTACCAAAGAGAGTGATGTTCTTGTCATTCCAGTGAAAGCCGAGTTTCTGTAGAGTGGCAAATGTTCACGCATTTGCTGTCCAGTGTCCCCACCCCAGATAAATTTCACTCCTAGGTTGTCACTCATTTATAAAAACTGTTTCCTTTATGACAATTGCAATCAATTCTGAAACTAATGGAACAGATAAATACACTTTGTAGAAACAGAATCTTAGACACAGAGAATGCCTCATGCTATTTAAAATAATGTCAGTGGATACTGTAGTCATCAACATAGAATTTAGGCTGCACCAGAATTAATCCTAACTAGCTCTTTTCTGCTGAGGACCACACAAGTACTTGGCCTGCTAATACATCCACTGGTTTTGCTAAGTTATTACTGCTTCATGGGGAATGAAAGGAACTCAATTTGTGATGTCCATAGGGTCACAATGATAGTATAGTCTAAAATTTGGTAGGAGCAAGCTTGGGCAAATCACATTGTCCTGTACAATGCCTATTCATGGCTTAGCATGGTACCTGAGTCCAGTCACATGAATCTAAAGTGTAATAAACCCAATATCATTTAGAAGAGTTTCCTTGCTTGGAATCCTTTCTAGACCTTTGCATTTTGTCTTACAGATGAGTTTGTGTAAGCTACTAAGCCTAACGAGAATGCCCTGGGCTCATTACTCATTACTCATGGAATATAAAATATTCCATGCTCTTCAGTGAGGTATGAAATCTAAGTAAAGATCAACTTGATCTGAAGAACAAATGCCAGGGAAGCCTCCCTTCCTGATGACGCTGTGCTGGGTCTTTCTGGCTAGAAGACAGGACAAGCATCATTAAGTTGTACAGAAGCTCAGCTGTACCAGAGAAAACTCATCTCCACCTTCCAGTACCCTGTATCCCTATGGCCACAAAAAGAATTTGTTTTTCCTACCCTTTCAAAGCTTACATTACTGATCATTCTGCCCTCGACAAGTCTCTGTCTTCACTTGTCCATACATGCATGAAAATGCCATGAAAAAAAATCATGCTCCAAAGCAGCTGATGTACATCATGATTAGTGTCACTTTGGACAGAATGGATGTGCTGCCTGGGTTCCCCCTGGACCTTTGGCCTTCTTCCTCGGGCCTTGTGATGTGGCTTGGTCAGTCAGCTTCTGTATGCAGGCTCAGCACTTGAATGTGACTGTCAGTTACGCCTCAGACCCAGATTCCAGTGCAGACCCCAGGAGTTCCTGCCATTTTCTTTGCTTGCTGGGGAAGAAGCTTACTAACCATGGTCATCAGCTCCCTGCATGCTGTGCCACCCCTCTCAACCCGTGCCTGGGCCTATTTATTCTTTCCTATGAGTATATGCCAAACTATCTCTGTCTGAATCCATTTTAACATATCCCTTAATGCTTCTCCCCTCTTGAGAATTTATAATACACACTGACTGTCCTTTTCATCAGAAGAATATGATTTTAGGATGGAGTCTCAAGACTATATCAAACCATTCCTAACCATCCCTGCCTCCTGAAGTGATTTGTCAACTTGACAGTCTTATCTACTGGTAGAAACGATGAATTTTAAAGTATAAGAGCCTTCTAGTGTGACAGTGTCTATTTTAAGTGTTAATTTATCAGTTTCTTTACACCCAATGTTATCAGAAACTCAAGTTTAAGCTTAGTTAGTGTTACTGTTGCTAAGATGAAACACCATGACCAAGAGCAACTTGAAAAGGAAAGGGTTTATTTGATTTATATAGCCTAAATCACAGCCAAGTGAGCCCTCAGAAGGCATGAACTTGGAGGCAGGAGCTGATGTAGAGGCCATGGAGGGGTGCCGCGTAAGAGCTTGCTCAGCCTGCTTTCTTATAGAACTCAGGACCAGCTGTCCACAGGGGGCCACACCTACAGTGGACTGGTAGTGGACTGAGCAACTCCCACACCAATCACCAATTTAAAAAAAAATGTCCTACAGGCTTGCTTACAGCCCAATCTTACGGAGCCATGGTCTCGGTTGAGATTCTCTGATCTCAGATGACTCTAGCTTGTGTCAAATTGACATAAAACTAGCCAGCACAATAACATGGTTTGGCCAAATTGTAAATAAATGCATTCCTTTTACTCAAGTCTGTTTCCTAAAGTTTTGTTGTTTTTTTATTTTTATTTTTTACATGGAAATTAAGGTGGCAGGTTTTGGAGCGCTTGTTTTTATATCATGAATAAAGAGAGCAGTCTACTTATGGTAGAAGTGAAATCTCCAAGTTTTCTTCTGAAAAATGGGGGTCTGTAGAAATGTTGATGAGCCTATGCATTAGTCTCAAAGACATCCCACAGACATGAACTGGTGCGTCCGCTAGCATTAAAAATTAAATCAGGCACTTTATACTTCTCATAGAAAACAACCAGGCAGAGGCGACTTCTGACTTCTATTTCAGCTCCCGGAAGGCTTCAGGAATTCAGAGAAACTGAGAACTCAGAATACTGAGGTCGTGGCTCTCAGTTAAACCTCTAGCATTTAGGCCAATCAGCTTTCTGAGCCTGTCCCATCCAAACTGTATTTGTGCACTCTCAGCAGAGCAATTAACTGTTACGTTCAGAGTGCTAAAGAGAAGGATGCCCTCTGGTAATAGCTAGCAGTCTTTCCAGCTAGAGGAGATGACGCTGACAAAGGCAAAGCTCCCACCATCTGCAGAGGCCACACATAAGCTAGGACAGTTGTCTACAGTGGTTAGCCCCTGGCAGCCCAGTGACAAGAGGAATCCATTTTGGAGCCCCATGGCATAAACGACTATCAAGGTATGGGGAGGGGCCTGGCAGGGGCATTAGCCATGCAAGTGGCCAAAGTGCCGGATACTTGTGAAATGATGTTACGACTCTTTCAGGCCCTCTCTCCACCAGTCACACTGCTTTCCAAGTGGGATGGCTGGCTCACCCTCTGGTCAGCCTGGATAATGTGTAAAGCAAGGCTTTTGCTTTATTCTTCGCTTTATTGTCTGACCCTGATTCTTGCTATGTCACCCAGTCTGGCCTTGGACTCCCAATACTCCTACCTCAGCCTCCCAAGTGCTGGGAATATAGATAAGAGCCCACACTGAGGGCAGTCCTTCACATTCCCCCACTGGCCAGCATTGTCCCTGTGCTGAGCTTTATCTGTGTTTTCCTCGATTCAAACAAGTTAACCTTTGTTTTCGAGGTCTTCTTTCTCATCATGGGAGGACAAGGGGAGGAGGCTATTTTACTGTTTGCAGCACAGTGAGGACACAGAATAGCATGGGAGGGGTGGGTGGCAAGATAGCATGAGCGTTCTAAACCTTTTTTTTTTTTTAAATTTGAAGCAATAGATAATTGAGTCCTTGTTTTCATTCTTCCCATGTGGGGAGAAGGAGCTCATTGGTAGCGACACCCACCCCCTGGGAATTGGAAACAGTGGCCATGGATACATATAACTTTCTATATGCATGAAAAGTTATTTATGAGGAGAGGGAAAGGCTGTGTGTGTGTGTGTGTGTGTGTGTGTGTGTGTGTGTGTGTGTGTAGGGACCAAGTGTCACTCTATCCCTAGGCTGGCTTCAAAGTCACTATATTGCCTTGTATGACCTTGAACCTCGAACCCTCCTCTTTCTACTTTTCAAATTCTGAGATTACAGGCATGTACCATCACACCCTGAGAATCTGAGGCTGTGAGCTTCCAGTGTGTTACCTGGCCTGGTGGTTTCTGTGGTGATTCTTACCTTGGCAGAGTAAAATGTTCCTTAGCAGCTAGCTATTCATATGCCAGATTGTTTTTATTCTAAGAAGCATTCTATAACACTGATTGTATTTGCTCCAGACTATGTCCCCTACTGAAGTTGCTACTATTTTCCCAATAAAGAGCAAATGTCAAGGTGTACCTAGTCTTAATTGCTAGCTTCTAGTCCTTACCATGAGATTGTAGGATGAAGGACAGAGAAGCAAAAAAGAAAAGGAAACATGTTCCGGAGAGTGGGCTCTGCCATTTCCTCTGCCTGGAGTGATCCCATCTCTTCTTTCACTTTTCTGCTCCATCAAAACTTTTTCCTTCTTACTTTTCCTAAAATATCATCCCCTTCCTCCATCACTTGACTTACTACTCTTCAACCTCTTCTATGATATCCCTCACTGGAGTATAACTGAGCCAAATTGTTTTGTTTTCCAGTATCCACAAGAATGTTTGCAAAATGTCAGGTGTTGAAAAATACTTACTGGGTGGAAGACCTGTGCGATAAAAGTGGTTCCTGAAGCAGCCTGCCAGCCCTTCCTACAGTCTCCACGTGGATAAAGAGCTTCCGCTCTGAAAACCACGCCTCATCCCCCTAGGTGAGGCTTGCATCCCAGGGAAAGCCCAACCAGAAAACAGGCATATAGCCAACATCCTGTAAAGCCACCTCTTCTCTACTCTCTCAGGCACTGTGGACCTCTAGGAAAACTTGAGCAGCGTGAGAGGCCTGTAAGCCTGGTGAGAATATATCATAGATATAAAGACCTTGGGGCCAATGTGGCAGAGCCATCCTATGTCAGGGAGTTAACTTCAGTGTAGGGTGTGACTGGTCAGCATCAACTCAGGGATTATACTCACAGCAGGACTCCAGAGATCACCGTCTCCAGCAGCTTCTTCAAAGCCCACTGTCAGTGTGTGCTTCTGTGGCAGAGAATGACCACTGGACCAAGAAAGGATCCCAACCTTATGCAGGAGTCTCCATGCTGGCCTGGACATTTTTATATTGAAGAAGAAGAGAAAGAGAAAGAGAAAGAGAAAGAGGAAGAGGAAGAGGAGGAGGAGGAGGAAGAAGAAGAAGAGTATTTTTAAAGAGAAGTTTGGTGAAAGAAAAATAGTTTTAGCTTTTAGTGATCAAATTTTATTCATCAGAGAAATTTGCTTTGTCTATAAGCCAGGGAGAATAAATAAGGGGGGGAATAAAAGGTTCAAGAGACCAACTCTGTTTAAAAGTAGTGCACGATGGCAGCACTTGGAGTCAAGATGCAGGTAAAACTCAGTACTTTCAAGAAACCAGGTCCTCTAAGTTGTTAGCTACCTCTGGACCTTGGAGCCTCCTGCTGCTGTCTTTGAAATAGAAGCTTAATACACCCAGCCTACAATTTTTATATTCTAGCTTTGCACCTACAATATGCCGGTTAGTTTTAGGTCAACTTGACCCAAGGTAGAGTTATCTGAAAGGGGGAAACCTCAATTGAGCAAATGCCTCCATAAGAGCTTCCATAAGAGTAGAGCTATTTCTTATTTGGTGATTGACAGTGAAGGGCCTGGCCCATTGTGGGTGGTGCCATTCCTGGGCTGATGGCCCTGGGTTCTATAAGAAAGCAGGCTGAGCAAGCCAGTAAGCAACACCCTTCCATGGCTTCGGCATATTCTCCTGCCTCCAAGATGCTGCCCTGTTCAAGTTCCTGTCCTGACTTTCTTCAATGACAGACTATGATCTGGAAGTGAAAGCCAAATAAACCCTTTCTTCCCCAACTTGCTTCCCGCCGTGGTGTTTCATCACAGCAATAGGAACCCTAACTAATACACACAGTAAGCTTCTACCTTCTAAAGCATCTGCATAGTAGGTGCTCAGAGGAATGCTGATGAGTGGTCTCCTACCGTCCAACTACAATTAACTGAGGCAGAGTCCCTGCTGAAGCCTTGCCACTTGAAGTACCTCCAGGACCATACACCCTGGGACCATGGTTCTCATCCTTCCTAACGCTGCAACCCTTTTAATACAGTTCCGCATGTTGTGCTGACCCCTCAACCACAAAATTATTCCATTGCTACTTCCTAACCGTAATTTTGCTACTGTTATGAATCATGATGTAAATATCTGATATGCAAGATATCTGATATGTGACCCCCCCCCAAAAAAAAAAGCTGTCAACCTACAGGTCGAGGACCTCGGCACTGTGGTCTTCTGGGGTCTACTTATGGAGCAGTTTCGGGGGGGGGGTCTGCAGTAATGGAATCTGCATCTGAAAAGAACTCTAATGCGGTATTCCTGCTTATTCAAGTTGGATGATTTCTCTCCGGAGTGGCAGGGGCTGCGAATTCCTACCTTCTCGGCCCTTCACAAGTTTCAGTTCCTTCAAGTGTAGCTCTCCACAGTCAGCTCTGGCTCAACACTTGATTCCCACTTCTGAACTTGAAATTGCAGTTTCAGTTCAGCAAAAGGCACCTTTAGCCCCATTGCTTAGGGAGCCAGAGCTGCTGGGGATTTCGGCTCTCTCACAAAACACTGCTGCCTACCTGGGATGTGAAGCAGCTGGGCAGGAAGAAGAAGGAACATGTACCCTTATCCCTGAAACTGGTACTTCTAGTCCCCCCCCCCCCCCAACAATAGACTTGGCTAGCACTGAAAACAACCTGAGCGTGAAAACAAAGCCGACCGGGATTTAAGTGGGGCCCTTGGATCCTTTCAGACATTTTAGGCAGAGAAGGGCAAAGATATGAGTGCTAGATTGCAGACAGGTGGCTGACGCCAGGAAACTGCTAGTAACAAATGCCGAGACTCCTGACAGCTACACCAGAGACAAGCTTTTGTAACGATACCAAAACTGGCATTTGCGATTTTTATTTATAAATAAGATAAGCACATATGGACTTTAGCCAAATGCAACTTAACAGTTCGTTTTGTATAAAATATATCTGTGTTCAGGGTGAGGTATCTAGAGAAAGGGATGGTGTTGTGTTAACTCTTTCATTCACCTGGCTTCTGCAAGACAGCCTCTTGAATTAGCTCAGCTTCCTACACAGTAGTAAGTAATTAGGAAAGATAAATATTATGTATGCAAGAAGAAATATAAATATGAGGCGAACAAGTTACTTCACCTCCTCAGAGCCATGAAAGCTGCTGTCTTTATGGCACATCCTTCAAACACAACCGGACTTAAACTTTTGGCCACTCAAGTTTGCTGGAAACTGAAGCAGGGAGAAAAACAAAACAAAACACCTCAATAGTGACTTTGTGAAGACTCTGGGCAGCTTAGAATACTGTACTTTCAAGGTGTTGCGCCTCTTTTATAAGCCGGTTGGCTGACTGCAGTTTTTTGGTGCCAACTGAGATTAGCAGTTATGCAAAAAAAACAAAAAAACAACAACAACAAAAAAAAAACGCCACCTACTATTGTCCCTGCATAAGACCTGGTGGCTCTGGAGACAAAAGTGAAACTCCTTAAAAGATGAATGAACCCAATCTAGTATCTGGAGATTTTTGTCCCAGGAAAGGAAGGCTTGCCCTCCCGTTAAAGAAAAGTGTCCAGGGTTCTGGTGGCAGATGTCCAAGTAACACACAAGTTCAAAACACCCTCAGACCCCAGGCGGAGCTCAAACAGACTGTGCGTGAGCCGCACCTACAAGTCAGAGTCACAGGGCAGCGAACTGTGGCAGGGCCGAGTGCTGCGAGTGGAGGAGCCGCCTTGGGAGGTGGCTGTCTTCTCCTCTCCCTCAAGCACGTCCATGGGGTTGGTGTAGGCCTTGGGTGGCGGCCGTGGCATGGGGAATCCGACCTTGAGCTTGCCGGAGGCCCTGTGCTCGGTGGGAGGAGGCCGATGCTGACCGTCGCTGTAGTACTTGATGGCCGGTGTGAGCGCGGGCTCCGGCCAGTCTACGTAGACGGTGCTGATGCTGCTGCGGCGCGGGCCTGAGGGGGGCGCCTTGCGGCAGCGGCGACAATGTTCTTTGCACCAAGGCGCAAAGCTGAGCGCCAGGGAGAAGCCGCCCAGCAGCAGCAGGCAGCTGCCTAGGTAGCCCAGCACCAGGCTGTAGCTGACCTGCACTGTGACAGGGTTGCTCGGGGCGGGCAGGACGGAGCGATCCGCCAAGAAGTGGTTGTACCAGGAGACCGGGATGAGGCTGAAGAGACCGGCGACGAAGAGCGCGACGCCCGAGAGGCCGGCTAGCCCGAAGTGGGGCTCATCCTGCCAGCAGCGCACGCCGAGCGACGCCAGCAGCAGCCCCAGGGCGGTGGTAGCCAGCGACGTGATCATGAGTCCCCGGGCCGCCTGCACCACCTGGGTCTCGAAGTAGCTCCACTGGTCGGGCTGGCCACACTCGCGCTCGCGGCTGCTCTGTTCGCGGCAGATGTCCCACAGGCCCTGGTACAGCACCACGTCCACCGGCTGGTCCAGAAAGCCCTTCATCAGCCGCCAGCCTGGGGCCAGCGTGCTGATGAGATTGAGCAGCAACCCGCAGGGCGTGAGCACCATGCCCAGGGTCATCACCACCGGCGTCCGCATCCCTCGTAGCTCCGTGGGTCCCCCCAGCACCCGTGCCGGCTCCGCAGCGCGCCCCAAGCCCGGGGTCCCCAAGTCTGCGAGGCGAGGCGCCGGGCTGGGTGGCAGCGATGCTCGCCGCGCTCTCCGGACGCTCTTTGTCTCCCTCGCGGGACTGTCCCCACTGAGCCTCTCGCAACGAGTCCCCTCCCCTCTGGAGTCCCGACTGCTCCGCCCTCTCGCCCAGCCGGTGTCCCTAATCGAAACTAGCTGCGAGTCGGGTCAGACCGAAACCGCGCGCCCAGGAGCGCCCCCGCGGCCAAACCCTGCCCGGTGGGAGGGGCAGGAGCGGCGGGGCCACTTGGCAAGAGGCGACCAAGGACTCTGAGGACCCGGACACCCCACCCCAGCCCGGCCCGGCCGCTTCGCCCCACCCGCCGGGTGGTTTAGGGACCGAGCAAAGGTCGCCCCGCCCTGGCTCCTTGACGCCGCCCTCGCTCTCGGGGACTGGACGAAGGGGGCGGGCCGCTCCTGGAACCTCACCTGCTGCCTAGCTGGGCTCTGCCCTCACTTCCCAAACCGTCTCAGGTCAGAAAGGGACCCCCCCCCCCGCCTCCCACCCCCAATTCTCCCTGACTATGCTGACACAACTCTCCATCCACTCCCAGCTGGTGACCAGCGTCCCTTGAAGGTTTTGAGCGGCTACCCGCAGTCACTCCCAGCGCGTTGGTCTGCCAGAGATGCGCAGGACCCGTGTGCACCGTGCTTTCCCGGCCCGGGGTGTATGCAAACTAAGGGCTCCACGCTCCGCGAGAAGTTTAACTCGTAAGAAAGGGAGAAATACTTTTTGCAAAGGGGTTTTCTTTGCAGTCTCGTAAAAACAGTTCAAGCGGATCCGAGGATGGCTCGATGATTGTCTCCTCTGGACTCGGCAAGCCTATAATGCACTGCAGAAAACCCGTGGTTCTGAGAACGTTTTCAGATAAATGCAAAGGGGTAGAGTATGATTGATTGTCGCCCAAAGAATGCCAACTGGGTTTTTTTCTTTCATGAAAAAAAAAAAAAAGACAAACTTGTAATCATAGAAATATAATTAGAAAAAAATCGCTTTATTCTTTATTCCCCTTGATTAGTTAAAAATGAAAACTTGAAAATCTGCATTGGCAAAGGTAGGAGCTAGCTAGTGATTCCTGGTGTCGTCTGCTTCGTGTGAAGCCTTTAATAAACCAAATGAGCTGAAGTTTCTTTTTCAAAGGTTTTTTGTTTTTGTTTTTGTATAATGAGCATTCCTGTTTGCCTGTGTACGAGTTATTTGCATTCTCCTTTGATTTTCACACTAAACTGTTTCCCTCCTTAAACACTTTCATTTGGCACACATTCACTTTATATTAGGGCAAGAGCCATGCCTTTACTGTTCTTTCCCAGTACTTTTCTGAATTCTCTACATTTCTTACAATGGGAATAAATTTTTTTGCAGTTTGTACAATTGAAGCTATTTGATAAAACCAGCTAACTTGGAGTAGTAGTAATTTTGAACATTCTGCAGTGGGCAAACCCAGAGATGAGAAGCACTACTTTCTGGATTTTGTTAATACAATTTTTTAATTACAAAATTTAAAAGATTATTTTTTAAACAGTACATATATGTGACATAAGAGGCCAGATGATGACACTGGAGCCCCAGAGCTGTAGCTTGAGGTGGTCTTGAGCCATTATAAGTAAGTGCTAAAAACCAAACCCTCATCCTGTGCAAGAGCAGAACCAGGTCTTCATCATTGAGCCATCCCCATATTAAAGAAAAAAAAAAAAATTGTGGCGAAGGGTCCTGTAGGTGTACATTTTCAAACTCTATTCTATTGGACTTCTTATACCTCTACCTCCCTGCCAACCCCCCAACACTGGTAGGAGAGAGAGAAGGTTAGAGGGGAAAGGGACAGCGTATGTCTCTTTATACTATTTCCTGCTGTTTAGGGACTTAGTTCCCGCAGCAGTCCAATCTTCACAGTCAGGATATACAGCAGTCTGGCAAAAGCAAACGCAGCAGCAAACCAAGCCAGCAGCAGCTGTGGGAAGCAGCAAGGAGAGGAGCCACCAATGCAGACCCTCTTGGGTTTCTGGCATTTACCCCCACTCACGAGTTCTCAGCTGAAGTACCTGCAGCTGGTACAAGTATCTGCAGCTGCTAGAGCACGAGACAATCAAAGTTAATGGCTTCGGACAAACCACATTTTTCACACTTGGGATTAAAACAAGAATGTATTCACCAAACATAACCAGATTTTTAAAGAAACCAAAACTCTCATATATAGCTGCCCTAGCTTGCTTTCTGTTGGTGTGATAAAACGCCAGCCAAAAACAGCTTCAGAAGGAAAGGGTGTACTTGGCTTGTGCTTCCTCATACACCACAGTCTGTGGTTGAGGTAACTCAGGGCAGGAACTGAGCAGGCACCTGCAGGCAGGAGTGGGAGCAGATGCCATGGAGGAATGGTGAGCACTGGCTCGCTCCTCGGTCCTGAACAAATTGCTTTCTTACACAACCCTGGACCACTTGCCCAGGGGTGATGCCATGGACAATGGGCTGGGCCCTCCTACATCAGTCATTAATCAAGAAATAGCCCCCCCCACACACACACACACAAAAGCTTGCCAATGGGCCAATCTGATGGATACAGTTCTTCAAATGAGGCTTTCTCTTCAAGGGTGACTCTAGCTCGTGTCAAGTTAATGCAAAGTCACCAGCGTATGGACCTGCCGTAGCTTTTACTGGCTTACTCAGTTTTAACTGCATAGTCTTGCAGTGAAAATGCAGCATGCTGCCATTGTGTAACCACCAACACCCTGTTTGTTAAACAGTGAGAAGTGTGTTCCCCTCATGCCTGAAGCCCTCACTAACCACCACTCCACTTTACCTGGACAGATTTAACTAGGTACTTCATTTAAATGGAAGTCAGCTGTGCTTGTGGCTAGGGTATTTCCATAAGCAGAACAAGGTTTATGCAGTTGTCACTGTATAAACTGACCACATGACGGCTCCATGGTGTGGTTAAAGGGAAGCTGTTTCTTTGTTTCTTAATTGTACCTATGAGCAGCCAGAGGCACCAGAAAGAGTCCAGGGTAGAGAGAAAGAAAGTAGACTGTACATAATGGCTATGAGAGAAGCAGGAGCATAGCGGTGGAGACAGAGAGCTGGGGGAGGGGAAGAGAGGAGGGGAGAAGAAAGGTTAGGGAAGGAGGGAGGAGAGAGAGAGAAAGAGAGAGAGAGAGAGAGAGAGTAAAGAAAGGGAAAGAGATCATAGCTAAAATAGCCAGGATAATGAGTAGCTGGGCAGAAGGAAGCACATGAGCTGGAGGAGTTTATAGTAGGAGAAAAGGTGAGAAGAGCTGGAAGGGCTGGGATCCAGGATGGACTCTGAAGTGTATAACAGGTGCTTATGACATCGAGGGAGCCTGGAGGCCAGCATGTGCTCTGTTATGCTGATAATCACCGCAGATAGCCATTTGTCCTTCTGCCAGTGATAAGAAAAATGGCTCCCTTGGCTAGAAGAGAATGAGTTTCACAATTTCCTGGCTTTTGTCTAACTGCTAAAATTTGGAAAGGTGGAGTTTCCTCTGGACCTGAGAGTGACATGTATCATAGTTCTTCTCCCTCAGAGCTGAATAGTGTTTACTATGGTGTCTGTGCCACTTGTGTTTATTTCGTCATCTCTCAATAGATGATTGGGTTATTTCAGCCTTTTAGGTATTGTGAACTGTGCTACGAAGAGGAGTGTCTTGACATCTTTCTGAGACCCATCTGTTAATTCTTCTGAGTGCAATGACCCCTTAACAGTCCCACCTCAGCCATGGGAGTTCTGATTGCTCTGAACATTTTGTAAAATATATTTCAGTTATTATGTGTGTGTGTGTGTGTGTGTGTGTGTGTGTGTGTGTGCATGATGTATCTGTGGGCACACATGCGTATGTGGATGTCAGAGGGCAACCTTGGGGAGTCACATCTTGCCACATTCATGGAGGTGCTGGAATTGAGCTCAGGTCTCCAGGCTTGTGCAGCAAGCACCTTTGACTGCTGAGCCGTCTTGCCAGCCCATTACCTTTGGTTGAAATAGAACCTTAGATTATCCAATTCCTCCTGTTTTAAAAGAACTTTCAAATTAAAATACCTTAACTTTTTTTTTTTTTTTTTTTTTTGCTTTAATGCAAAGAACATAAATGGATATATGTTGATGTTTTCCATTGGGGTTTGTACAGGTATTTTCAGAAAGAATGGAGAAAGAAGATAGAGATTTCTTTTAAACTGAATGTAGTAGTACATCCTGTAATCACAGGGTTTGGGCAGCTGAGGGAGGAGAGTTGTGAACTTGAAACCAGCATGAGAGCCTATAAAAATATAAAGAGGAGTATGCTAGTGCTTTCGTTGGATATCTGTAGTTACTTCATGACTCACCAGCATGGACAGTATGGCATGGATGAGCTTGCTTCCGTCTGTCCTGCAATGGGACTTGTCTGTGAAGATTACTGTTACTCTCAGAAAGGACAGTGTCTAGAAATGGCTGTCTTGACTTAGCTTAAGGTGGAATAAATACCTTGTAAAAGACATTCTCTATGACAAGGTATTAGAAGCTACTGACTCTGTCCTCCTCAACCCCCTCACCAAACTCTTGAGACAAAAGATTCTCTGTAATAGAAGGGCTGGCTCCACCTAAGAGCTGCTTAACAGAGCCACTTCCCAGCTTAGTGGTAGAGTGCTGGGCTAGCATGCCCAGCATCCCCGAGTTTGATTAAGACTACGGCAAAAATGAATTGAAATGGCGAAATAGCCGATGTTTTCCCGAAAAGGGACAAGGCCTGGGATGAGTTCTCAATATTTTAAATATCCAGACTGGGTTGCTGTTTGTCAGCTTTTCTGTTGCTGTGACTACCCCCCCTCTCCGAGGAGGCTCACAGTCTCTGGTTTCAGTTCTCGGTAACTTCCTTCCCCCCCACCTTTGGGAAGGCATTGGTGCATTGGGAATAATATCTGTCTTTCAAAGTCACGCCTCCAGGGTTTACTTCCTCCAGCCAAAGGCCACGTGAATGCCCATTCAGCTAAGGGCTCAGCCATGGGCTAAGCCGCTGAAAAGGTCAGCGTCCCCAAGAACCGGAACCATTCCTCACA